CATTGGCTCGAGCTTTGGAATTCGAGGCGGCAAAGCAGAGCTGCAGGAGCCAGCCAAAAATTAGGAGAGTCGAGGAAGAGAAAGAGGAGGAACCCAGTATAATTAAAGCAATCAGGCGAGTTCTTAAAGAGAATCTACCAGAGAAGAAGGAAATCCGCTGTTGGAGATGTGGAAAGCTGGGACATATACAAAGTCGTTGCAGAGGAAGCCAGGTGGCGCCGACTTTATTTAGAAAAATAAATAGGACTGAAGAAAAAGATGTGTGTATTCGCAGGACTACAATCGTGGATGATCATTGGCAATCCGCTGAGGTTCAACAAGACCAGGAAAGGGACCCGGATTTGAAGCTTATCATCGATTGGAAGAAGAACGACCGTAAACCAACGTGGCAGGAAGTCGCCCAATATTCGCCGAATGTGAAATCGTACTGGGCCCAATGGAATTCCATCATCTTAAGTGACGGGCTTCTAAAGCGCGTTCAGGAGATACCAGAAGGGGGGGAAGACCGGAAGCAGATAATAATCCCCAGAAACAGGATACCAGAAGTGCTGCAGGAAATCCATGATGGAACTACTGGAGGACATCTTGGGGTGACCAGGACGCTCGAAAGACTTAGGGAACGGTTTTATTGGGTCAACAGCCAACGAGATGTGAAGGAATGGTGCAAGAAGTGCGCCGTTTGCGCGGCAAGCAATGGACCCCAGAAGCGCCCAAAAGCCCCAATGCGACAGTACAATGTGGGCAGCCCATTTGAGAGAATTGCAATCGACGTGGCGGGTCCATTTCCGGAAACAGAATCTGGAAATAAATACATCATCGTTGTAATGGACTACTTTAGCAAGTGGGCGGAAGCGTACGCCTTGCCAAACCAGGAAGCTGCCACAGTGGCCGATGCACTTATTAAGGAGTGGATTTGTCGTTTTGGTGTGCCAATGGAGATGCATTCAGACCAAGGCAGAAACTGGGACCCTCCCTCCATCTGTTCCTGTTGGCGTACCGTTCTTCTATCCACGATACAACCGGCCAGACACCCGCTAGCATTATTATGGGACGTGAACTTCGTCTACCTTGTGACCTGAGGTTTGGTTGCCTACCTTGGGAAGATATTGCTGGAGAAGATTATGTCAGCAATTTACGTAGGAAAATGAGCGACATTCATAACCGAGTTCGTTTAAACATCCAGAGTGCCAGTGATAGAATGAAAGAGGCGGAGAATGGAGGATTTCAACCAGGAGACCTAGTTTGTTTATACAACCTTTAGCGCCGTCGTGGTTATTCACCGAAGCTGCAGACTTCTTGGGAAGGACCATACGAAGTCATGGATCGCATAAATGACATCATCTACAGGATCAGAAAACAACCAAGAGGAAAGCCGAAAGTGATCCATTTCAACCGATTGGCTCCTTACGCTGGAAACAATGCTAAAATAGACGATGCTAGAGTAAGGAGTGTTAATCCGCCGGAAGACGAGTTGCCTTTTGAAGACTTCATGTATTTATATTCGAGCGGTAAGAAAGCTCGGTATGATGTCACTCGAGAAGAACAAAAAGATCTGTTCACGGTTTCGGCCGATTACTCCTTGGCTCACTGTGTTGCGGAAGACCTTAGGATGTCCAGGGGAATAGCGGTTGTCTTTAAAAACAAGTTTGGACGGGTTGACGAGCTACGAAGGCAGAATCCCAAAGTTGGAGAGGTCCTTGAAATTGTGGATAATGAGCAGATAGGCCATAGAAGTATGGTCTATCTGGTAACGAAGCAGCTCTCCCATCAGAAGCCAAACTACCGTGACATATGGAATGCCTTAAATAAATTGAGGGATGCCCTTTTATCCAAGGACATCATGAACCTGGCGATACCAAAGATTGCTTGTGGACATGACGGTTTCAACTGGAGAATAATTAGAAGTATGGTGGAAGTTATCTTTAGATTTAGTGGCATACACATTCTTGTCTGTTGCTACAACCCTAAAAGAACAACCGGAAGGAAGACCGTGGACTGCTACTTCTATAGGACGTCACATTGCAAGTTTGGATCTCTATGCAAATATCGCCATGGAGCTGAGGACCATTTTCGGGACGAAAATGTTTTAAGACGGGGGCAATGTAGCGAGTACCGCTCTGGATATCGAAGTGATGACTCATCGCCGGTGAGTCATCGCTGGTGAGTCAGCGCTCGAACAATCGAGAGTGTGGAGCTCGCTGGAATGTTCCAGAAGACTTGGGCGCTGAATATATAAGAAACGGAGCAGCACAGTCCAGTTTTGGTACTCGCGTCGAAATAAATAAATATACGTGAAAATAAATAGACTCTTGAACAGTAGTGATATATAAATAATTAGTAGTTAGGTTTAATTTATAAATTACTAAACTGACATTTCGTCACCTGAGAATTATAGTGTTCTATCTGCATTTTCTTTTTTTTATTCAGGTTAGTCTTGTTTTAAGTCTTAAAGATGATATTGATCTATCTATATATAATTGGGGTAAAAATTGTAAAGTTTAAGGCTTAAACTGTACAATTTTTACCCCAATTATATATAGATAGAACAATATCCATCTTTAATACTTAAAACAAGACTAACCTGAATAAAAAAAAGAAAATGCAGATAGAACACTATAATTCTCAGGTGACGATTTGTATTTATTCATAACCAATAAACATGATTGATTATTGATAGAGTAGCCAGCCTCCCCTTAAAAACGGGAACAAGGTCATCTATTTAAAATATAGGGAATAAGCGGTATATGACACATTGTGTGGTAAGTATATGCGCTTAAGGACGATCCACCTTGTAAGCGAAATTTTTAAAATTATGTTAAGTAACTTGTTAAATAGAATTTACATAATATGTATATTATATGGGGGCGGCGCGACGCATTTTTTTCGTTTACTTTTTTGTTGACTAAAAGTTTCACTTTGAGGTCACTTTCATCATGCATGAATAAAATAATCCTCGTATTAAAATTTTATCATTCAGCAACTTGAATAAAATAAACCTCGTATTAAAATTTTATCATTCAGCAACTTGCTCTTATCATTCAGCAACTTGCTCCATGTATAGTCAAAGAAATCTATAGCACTTTTAACAGAGCGTAAAATTTGACGTTTTGAAACGTCTCGCTCACGTATGGCGGCAGGCCCTCTTACTCAACGTGTTTTAAAAAACGATGCATCGCTAGTAACGATAGCGACGACGCTTTTTTCGTTTATCACAGCTCCAACATATGTTTAATATTCCCCGGCACGTTCGCTCGCGCATGCGTGCTAGTAATGTCACGAAGTGATATCCCATTGAGTGCGTATTGCGCTCGAATGTCACGACTTGATATCCCATTAATTGTGTATTGTGGAAACATGCATGCGCCAGTGATATCAGGATGTCACGCCGGGATTTCGGAGTGATTTCAATACGCAATCACAAATGTTTACTGGGTATACCCTATAGGAAAGCAAACATTGATAATTCTTATAACAAATTTTACTATCATTCTAAATTAAATAGGTATTTACCACAGTCCATAAGACCCTGGTATTTACCAACAACATATATATTTCTTTGTATAAGGTATACAAAATTGTAATTATTATATATTATATGAGGCCTGTCAGAGTAAAGTCAACAATCTCCCGTCAGACTAAAACTGAGAAAATTGAGATCATTGATTTTGGTATATATTTTAAATTCTAGATTTATAATTTTGTTTATATATTATATTGAAATATTGTTGTTGTTAGTCTAGTAGCCAACTACAAAGTCTCCAGGATGCATAGTATAAGTGAAATCTATAATTATAAATTGGAGAATTCTGACTTTGATATGAATTGCTGGAGATTGTTCATTTTGTTGTAAATGTTTAAGGAGATTTTCAGTTTAGTTACAATCTTGCAAAATTTATAAAAATAAACAATAAAATAATTGTATTTTTATTCTTTTAATGGTTATAAAATTTAACTATACAATCAATGTGGGAAAATTCTGAACTGGACGATATAAATCTGGAGTTTCTTCTAAATCTGGGACCAGGTTGCCTTGTGCAAAAAAGTTTATATAGTACAACTCATCACCTTGTTCCTACTTTGCCCCTTGTTTTACTAGCAAAGTTTTGACATTATCAGTCTTTTCTTGCTTTACCTTTACGTCTTATTTTGGTATAATAGCACAAAATGAACAAGATAACTTTTTTTTTAATAATTATTAAAATAAAACGTATATCTATAGATATACCTATTTTAAATATATTTTTTGAGTGCAATTTACTGCAATAGAACTTAACAGTAGGTACCAGTAAAAAAACACAAAATTAGAGCTCTAAAATACGTTATGTCAAATGTCAGGATATCCGGTGACACAAATTACTAATTTCTAATGTGGAATTGGAGATTGTATAGGTACTTTGCTGCAAATCTATCAGTGGAGATGGTACTAAATGTCATTTTTTAAATAGGATTGTAGGCAGTATTTAGGTCCTTTTGCAGCACATAGACTTTATCATCTTTTAGATAATTAGTTGAAGTGCAGTCTTCACCAAAAATCTAATTTTTGCCAAAAGTTCAGATTGTAGGTTTTGCTATAACAGGCCTCATATATTATATATTTTACATTATAAATTTAATACTGCACTGTTTTCATATAGACTTAAAAAACTCTTTTTATATTCCAAATGTTAACAATTTATTTTTTAATTAATTTAAAATTTTCAAAATACATGGAAAACTGCAAAATTGTCTTATGGTTTTAAATGGCTAGGAATATGTCCTGTTCTGAAACCAAAGATGATTTAGTATACTGAATAGGCAGATTCTTCAACTAAATAACTCTGCACAATAGTATAGATACTATAGTAGAATTAAACGTATATTTTAGTTTTATTTATCCAAAAATGTGACTTGTGCTATTTTGATTCTACAAAACTCATGTAAAAACATATATAGTGGGGTATGATTTTTTTTAATTGAGAGTTGAAATGGAAACAGAACTTTATATAAGTTTAACAACTTACCCAACTAAAGCATTTATAACAAATGCTGATATAACTACTTTTCCCCCAAAATCTCGTACATGTATCTCCTTAAAAAATATTGCAAATTATTAAGCAATTATTTACCTATATAGTCACTTACGTGATATTCAAATATATGATCTAAAGTCCTAGAATCTCCTACTAGAGTGCCAAGCAATGCTAAAATAAGACCCAGAGAAACATAGAGCAAGCACTGAACTGAGATTATCTGGGAAATAACTAACCAAGGGTCCCACTGCGTATATCGAAAAGAGCCTGTTAATTTCTTCATTTTATTCAATATAATATTATCAATAAAAGTATTTGAGTTACTTAGAATACATGCATTTTGTTTGATATTTAGTTTTTGACATATTTATGTTTTTGTAGGAAAAATTTGACAACTGTCAAAATTTGTAAGCATGTTAACCAATCAAGACGTAAAAACCCTAAACATAGTGCAACGTTGCCACTTTTACTATATTTTTACTTTCTATTTAAGAATTGGTTTGGTAAACCCAATTCTTATTAAGCCTATTCATTATTTTTAGTTATAAATTAGGTAATTCTTTAATTTATTTTGATTTCTGGTCATCACTTGATCCTTTTTCATGATTAAAATTGTGAATTTGGCGCCTGTCTTTGTAAAAAAGAAACTGAACTTTTGACATCTGTCAGTCAAAAATTGTAGAATAAAGAAATTATCTTTTAATGCGTGATGTGATTTGTAAATAGTGATAAGAGTAAATGTTTATTAGTTGAAAACAAGTAATTTAAACCTAGAAAAATTTATGTAACATGCTTAAAGGTTTCAATATTTTCCAGAAGGAAAAAGAAATGGACAGGGGTTCTTATGAGAAATTATCAATAAGAGATTCTGCTAGATCTCTTAAAAAGTACGGTAGTACTAGTAGTAAACATGTGACTAGAAATGAGAATTATATAAAGCATTTTGTAACACAGTATGATACATTGCAAGGGATTGCATTAAAATATAATGTTACAGTAATATTATCAAATTTTTACAAAAATACATATTTATAAATTCTAAATTTTAGATTGAGCAAATACGTAGAGCAAATAGGTTATGGGCATCTGATAGCCTATTTTTGAAAGAGTTCCTTTTAATTCCTGTACAAGATAGTAATGGTAGTAATAGTGAAACTGTTTCTAGTCCTGTGGAAGTTAGATCTTCTCAGGTTACATCTCCTTCTTCTACAACATGTGGTAGTTTTGATAATGATGATATAAGTGACTTCCTTAGCAAAATAGATGCATCTATTGCAAATACCAAAGAAGATGTTAAAAAAACTCAGACCAACAGCGAGTAAGTACACATTAATAATTATATTTAAGCTTAATATAATTTCCTTAAATATAGTAAAAATAAAATAATAACTTACAAGATATAATTAACAATATTAATGGAACAGTCTTTGGATTTTCAAATTTGAATAGGTATTAACGATTTAAATCAAGTGATTTTTTTATTTTAATCAATGTTAAATTAGTTTTAGAAAAGGTTTATAAAATCTAAAAAAAACTTAAAAGATCTAAAGCACAATAATATATCTTGACACTATTTAAATAAATTCATATGCATAGAAAAACTCCTTATTTTGTTAAATAAAATAATAAAGGATTACCTATACAAAGAAATATATGACAGTTGTGGATGGTGGTTTATTTGTTTATAAAGTATTATTATAGTCAATTTATTTTTAGTATTTTTTTTAATAGTACACTTAATTAAAAAAAGCTTATAATTTTGAATATCCTAATAAAAATAAAAAAAATCATTTTGTGTTGATTTTATTGATTTTTTTAAATAAAAATCGTTGATTTTGGTTTTTTGTTTAAAAATCATGATTTTTTCAAACCCTGGATATAACTGCCTTTTAAATGCAACTCAAGATATAGTTATAACTTTCTCTCAGTTATTAGACATGGGACCCACACCAAATTTATAATAGTTTATAATGACATTAAATAGACAAGTTCGGCGCAAACAGAATTTAAATTGAAGTTTGCGAAAAAAAGTTAGTTTTTTCTGTCGCCTCACCCGCCTCCAGGCCCCCCTATTTAAGATAATTCAAATTAAAGTGGTGCAATTTATTATCTACTATAATTTATCAACAAATTTAAAAAATCCAAATATTACAGGTTTTATACCATTTTAAATATTATTAATAAAAAATTAAAATCGAATAAAATCTGTAATATTTGGATTTTTTAAATAAAATTTTAAATTTGTCAATAAATTATAGTAGATATAAATTGCACCACTTTAATTTGAATTATCTCAAATAGGGGGGCCTGGAGGCGGGTGAGGCAACAGGAAAAACTAACTTTTTTGCACAAACTTCAATTTAAATTCTGTTTGCGCCGAACTTGTTTATTTAATGTCATTATAAACTATTATAAATTTGGTGTGGGTCCCATGTCTAATAAATCTGTTTTAAGAATATCTACTTAAGCAAGATATAAATTTTTTCATAGGCAAGCAATATTTTTCTAAATAAGAACTTTTTTAGTATTTTTAGGTATTTTCATAAAATTCCTAAATTTATAAGATAATAAATGTTTTTTTTAGATTTGGATTGAATATGGGTTTTGAAAGTGAAAGAAGAAAACCAATAGTTTCTCGAATGAAACAAAGTGTGAACAATAACAGTTCTAATAGTGAGTTGTATGGTTCCGCACAGGCAGTAGTGATTCAACAAGGTAAAAAAGTACGGACATCTTTAAAACATCATGAAAAACAACAGGATGAATTGTTTGAATTGTAGCTAAAAATAATAACAATTAAAATTATATAGGTAAATTTTGCAGTTGAACCTTTTGTTTTTCATATGAGAATTAGTTTTGTTTGATGATCCTAAAATGATGTGTTAAATAATTTATTTAAGATTTTTATGACAATCCAGGCGTTTAAATGGTTTATTTTATGCACAACAAATAAAATTTTGATTGCAGTACTAAAAATAATCCACTGGGAATATGGATTAAACTTGTTACATAATAATTTGTATTAAAAAATCTAATTTAAAGAAATACCCATAATAAATGTTGTGCAAATGTTTTTAAACCACTAAACCAAGAATTTTTTTGATTTACAGGTTTGTTTAATTTATAGGATTCTTAACTAGTGGACTTTAAAAGTTACATAGTTTCATTAGGCTGGCACAAGAAGACTAAATACAGGAGTAATTTGCTAGGTGGGGCCACATCAAAAAACGTACATATTATGCTTCACACTGAAAAGTATCACCTTGAAATATAAATACAAATAATTGAGATAATCTATCTGTCAGCGCGAATTTTTTCTCATTTTTTGAAAATAATACAATATGTATGTATTTTTTTGGCTAAAGTCTTAATTTAGAACACAAAAAAATATATTGTAAAACATTACCAAGTCATTTTCAAAAACGATTTTTTAAGAGCTTCTTAAAAGCTTCTTAAAAGCACTGAAAACGGTGCGTCTAAGAATTCTTAGTAGGTATTCAAACACATTTATTGTATTATTTAAAAAAAAATAAGACAAAAGTAGCGTTAAACTGACAGATAGATAACTTTAATTATTTCTATTCAAATGTCAAGGTGGGACCATAACATAACATATATATTGTAAATAACACAGCACTTTGCGCATCCGTAGTCTTCTCTGCGCACGCTATTTGGCGTAATATGCCTGTGGTTAAGAGTTTCTCTGAGTAACATACTCCTCCTGAATTTAGTCTTTTTGCTTGGTCTAAATTAAGAATTCAATAATAATAATTATTATTTTAGATAATCCTGTTAATGCCTTATTAAATAAGGCATGTAAATCAGTAGGTTGCATTGACATATTGTCTTTGGATAACAGTGAATTAATAATATATGTTATATATGCTGAATACACAATAATTGGTGTTGTTTATTTATGAATAGTGTAACACATACATAAATTAAATATGCTTTGTTTAGTGCACAAAAAATTCCTATTGGAAATAAAAATTTGTTGATTATAATGGAGGTATTATAAGAACATACCTAGTCCAAAATTAGTTTTTCGTTTTTGTACATTTTTACTGTATAGGCATTTTTTTTACCAAATTTATATTTGGACCAATCATCCATAAACATTTTTTGTTTAATTTTATAAATCATCAGATCTCAATACAGTAAAAAAAACATGCTCAATAAAAAGTAGAGTAGTATCAACCTATCCAGCTTACAGGCAATATTAAAACATATTTTTTTACTGTATCAGTGATTTTTTTTCTTTTAAGGTGCATTCTAAAACCTATACCAGAAAACGTCAGTGCTTATTAGAGATATTTTCACTAACCAGACGAAAAATATTTTAGTATTTATTTTTATGTCATTTTTCTGTTATTTTCATAACAGGAACACACATAATATGTTATATAATATTATATTATAATGTATGTATAATATAATAGAAAGGAAGCCTAATAATTAACTTACTCATTTTTATATACATATACATATATACTTAACTTAAGTTCGTTTTTATCTGGACTTTGAAAGTATCAAAAGTTTTGAAAACAATAAAGATAAAAGTAAATTTCATTTATATTTGTATACAAAACTTTTAGTTTTTATCCTTACCAAGTTTTTTGTATAGAAACGTTTTGTTTTATTTCATACAAACATAAAATATTTTCTGTTAATTTATAATTTTACTAAACATGTTATTTTTAAAAGCGTCAAAGTCCAAATAGTTAAAATTTTATATAAATAGCTGTATTTAATCTCAATATTATGATAAGTAACTTTTTCAAGATGTAGTATTGTTCTTTGTCTATTATTATTAGAGATGTAAAAAACTTTTTTTTTTAGATGAAAAAAACCTTTATTTTTTTTCGTTTTTTTTTTAAATCCGCCACAATAATTTACAATGTCCAATTTTGAGCAATAATTACCTACTGGAACAACGTCATTATTGTTTTTCCATTAAAAAAGCTTGTAGGTAAATCTTGCTTTTTTTCATTTGCTTAGATAAAAAAAAATTGTATTCCTTTGAAATTGATGTTTTTTTGCTGTTAACTTGTAAACGTTGATTTAAGTCAACTAAATTTAAAGAAAAAAAGTAAATACATTTAAATATCTATAAGTACATACATTTAAAGTCAAAATTTTGACAATATATTTAATCTTTAAATATTTTACAAATTTTAATTGTTTTTGGCACCTAAAAAAATTTAATGAGTGAAAAAACATTATATAATACATATATGGTATTTTTGCACAAGGGCAAATACGCCATTTTCCTGTTTTGAGAAAAACAAGTATTTCTGCATGACCTAGAAAAAAAATTAACAAACTGGAATTTAAAAACTTATATACATTCGTCGTTTTGCTAGAATAATCCCACATCATGTACATATTGTTTGGTGCATAAAGCCAAAATCATAAATTTGATGTATTCACCCTTTTGCAAAAATACCATTGATATATTGTATAAATATTATTATTATATAAAACCATTAATCTGGTCATTTTGCTAAAATCTTAAATTTTGATGACTTATTTTAAAGATTCAACTAAACTAAATTTCCTACAAAAAATGTATTTACTTTTTTTTTCTAAAGTCAACAGTTTACAAGTTTTTGCTAACATTTATACTTTACTGCTTAATTAAATTTGTTTTTTTTTTTTGTAAAAAGGGTCCAAAAGGCAAAACCTATGCTTAATTGGATTAATCCAAGAAAGTTTGGAAATAAAACAAAATGTGGAAAAAAACCGTTTGAACAAAAAACAGTGAAATAGTATGTTGCATCTCTAATTATAAATAATAATTAGGTAGCTATATTATGTAATTGTAAATATGTATACAATGAGATTGTATTAAAATTGTGTATTTTGTTACTTCTATTCAAATTTTATTTAAAATATACCTATATCTTTTTTACAACACAAGCTTTATTTTTACCAAACCTTGTAATTACAAAAAACAACTTTAACATTCAATATATTTATTACAACCTATTATTTTATTAATAATTCCTTTATTCTTTGGTCATTTTTAAGTATATTGCTTCTTACATGAATTATTTCAATTTCCTGTTTTTTTATTTCCTGTTGTACATGTTCTAATTGACTTAAAAGAGGTTTATTTGACTCATTTGATATCCTAAAAAGAAAACCTTGGTAAAAGGTTATTATACTACATTTAAAAACTTACTTTTTCTGTTTGTCTATTTCTTTAAGTAGCTGTTTTTTAGTGGAACTCCACATTTGTAATTCATTTACCATTGCTTCAATATCTTCATGCAGATAATTTAGAAGTTTTCCTAAAGGATTTGCTGTTTTTGTCAAATTTTGTATCATAGACCTTAGTTGCGTGATTTCTTTATTTGTTGCTTCCTTTCCGCGACTTGCTAAAAAGTTAAAAACATTGTTTTGTAAAAGAAAAATATTTTTTCCTTGGTGAAAAATGTTTTCCATAGAATAAAAACATTTTTCATAGGATAAAAACAATTTTTACCATCTTCCTCCCAGTCAATTTCAATTTTCTTCCTGTTATCCCCCTCTTCTTCAATCTGCTTTAATATCTGTTCAACTAAATGCCCTTTATTTTCTTCAGGCACCTTTAGCTCGGACATTACAGGTGGCTCTTCAACAATTTCAGGGGCTGTTTGTATAACCACAATGTCTTCTTCATCCCCCACGTCAACATTTTCCACAATTACATTTATATTACCCATTGTAATGTGCTCTTGGATGGGCAGTGCTGAATCAGGCCTTAATCTTGGAGCACCAGGCCTTGCACTTGATGGTCTCACACTTGGGGGTCTTAAAGTACTCTTGGGTCTTTGTATGGGTGCTAAAAAGTAACCTTAAATTAAACTAGGGTTACCAGGCCCTAAAATACAACAGCCAGACTCTGCGCTATACTAGGCCGGACATTTTGCCCTAAAAGCCAGACATATCTTTTTTAATAGCCAAACATACCATTTTTAAAGCCGTACATACGTTTTTAAAGGTGGACATAAATCTAATAATAAAAAAAACTTGGTTACAAATTTTAATTAATAATTAAAATAAAATTGAATCAGTTTAAAACTTAATTAGTTATAACTAACAAAAAGCCAAACATGTCTGACTAAAAAAGGGTTTTTTGTTGGATCAAAAAATAGCAGGGACAGTTTTCATTGGATAATAGTTATTTATGTATTAAGGGCATAATAAGGTTTTTATGGCCCGAGGCGCTATTTCGAGCCCGAGCGCGTTAGCGCGAGGGCTAGAAAAGCGTCGTAGGACCATAAAAACCAGTTATGCCAGCAATGCATAAAAAATATTACCTATTTCATGAAATAAAATATAAAATAATCATATACCTATCAATTACTATTAATAGATAGGTATAATAATTTTAAAACAATTTGGAAGACTTACTGGATATTTCTATGGGATTTAAAGGAGTTTCAACATTTTTTTGGACTGCAATAATTTTTTCCCTGTCCCCACTTTTTGGGCGAGCTGATTTTGGCCTGACCAAAGCTGAACTACCAGGTCTTTTAAAAACATGACTTTCATTTTGATTTTCTTCATTTTTGTGTGAATTTTTTTTTGGTTCTGTATTTTCTTCCACTGTTTTTGTTTCTTGTTCATCTTTTTTTATTTCTTTAGGTGTTTCCTTTATTATTGTTGTATTTTCCACAATACTTTCCTTGGTTTCAAGTTTTTCCTCTCTGGGAGATTCCTTGGTTACAATTTTAGGTTCTTCATTAATGATTTTTGATTCTGTCTTGCTTGATTTTACTTTACTGCTTTTTTCTTTAGATATTTCTTCCTTCTTTTTTACAATCTTTTTTTCTCTAGGGGTATTTAACTTAATTCTATCCGTGGATTTAGGTGTCTCAACACTTGGTTTCTTTGACACCTTTTTGGTGGTTGATTTTTTATCATCATCAGTTTTGCTGGATTTTTTAACTTTTTCTTCCTTTTCACTAGGTCTTTTAACTTTATTTTTTTCAGTGGATAGATTTGCATCATTTATTGATTTTACATATTCCCTACTATCTAACTTTTTGTCTATTGCCTGTCCTATAGTTTGCAAGAGCAAATTTGTTTCTGATGGTTCCAAACCAGCAACTATTTTACTTGATCTAACATTTAAATCTGTTTTTGTTATAGATTCTAGAAAAAATATATTTACCATATAAAATGTTATTAATTAACATATCAAAATACTTACTCACAGCATTAATTAACTTATTTAAAAAAGCAATTTTCGAATCTTTTTCCTTAACATTATCAGAATTCAATTCAGCCTCCGAGTATAAATCCTTTAAAAAACCTGTTTCCTTAACCACAGCCTTCAGTATATCATGCAAAAACCTAAAAGGAGGCTTCTTCAATAACTTTTCAGTTAAAGCAGGCTTTTTAACAAACTTTCCCAATGTATTTTGCGTTTTTTTTATCATCTCCGGACTCACTTCACCCGACATTTTCAAAAATTGGAGATTGTTTTGATCGTGTTGCTACGGCAACCAAACACGTGACTGTGACGTTTAAGACATGCGCAGTCGCAACGGACGCGCCTGCAAATCGAAAAGGCGTCCACCATCTTTGTTCCCGTGATTACGCGGTTGTCGACTTTTCAGGGGCTGCGGTAAGTATTTTCCTTTATTTTCGTTCAAAAATATCGATTTTCACAAAATACCACATGCGAGGATTTGTAGATGTTAATTTGTGGATTTGGAGGTGAAATTAGCTCGTTGATAGAGTTTCCAAAAGAAAAATATTTTTTCTAAAAGTGTATACTTTCCCCAACTGCATAACTGTAGTGATGGTCGTCATCCTAATTAATAAGCAGGTCAAAACATAACCTAAATGCTCAATGTTTATTTATCAAATAAAATAAATGTTATTTGTTGTAAACAATACTGTGATAAATGAGATGAGAAATTGACCGTATTTTGTGCCAAACGGTCTTATGAAAATGTTGTGCAATATACAAAGTTTTAAGGTATATTTACAAAGTTTATAGCATATTTTGGACTAAATATGGAGCAGACAGAGCAAGTTTATCTTAAAGAAGAAATCGTGGAAGATGATGAAGATAGAATTCAGTATGTTGAAGAAGAGGATGAAGATGTGGACGAAATTCACAGAACTGAAGAAAATTCTGAGGTGCATACTGTAGTTCAAGTACTGCAAAATATACCCATAGAATCCATAGGAAATCAAAATATAATTCAGGATTATGTCATACACAACTCCGATGGAAATCTTGCATATATTATAGAGTAAATATTTAAATAAATCTAAAAAGAACTTTTTAACTGGAATTTTCTTCAGAAATGTTGAGTATGAGGAGGACGATGTGCATGAGGAAGTTGCAACAGTGGAAATTGCAGAGGTGCATGAGGAAGAAATGGCAGATGATCCAGGTGAGGGACAGGAGGAGACTCAAGGGGAAGAGATGGAGGTGATTGAGGGCGAGGGTTTTCAGGAGGGCACAGACAATGTAGAAGGAGAAGAAAAGGAGATTTTCGAGTGTGATAGCTGTTTTAAAGTCTTCAGAACATCTGCTGTAAGTATAATTTTTTTTATTTGTGGGTATAGTGTTACACTATCAACAAATATAAGATAGTTACAGTAACTATCTTATATTTGTTATTTTCTATAATTTTTTGTAACGTATGTATTTTATAAACATTGAGTGCAACATTTTTAAAAATTCTTGTTTTACATTATTATTATATTTTTCAATAATTATTTAGTGTCCTGAAAATGGCTCAATAATGCTTTACCAGGGGATATTTAAAGCATAAAAAATACAAACATTTTGTCTCACAAGAAGTTTTTAAGAATTCAAGTTTAAAACTGAAAATGCTGTGTCAAAATATCACATATGAACTTCATATTATGAAGGGGTAAAAAGCCAAACAGTTTAGGTCCCATTTTGTACACGAGTGCAAAAAAAAGTGGAGTTATTAACTGTTAGAGTTTTTGCTATACCTATACAAAAATCTGGATTCTTGTTTTAAAATTGTTGTTTGCATTAATCAACATGCAGAACAACAATTTTCACTTTATGAGAAAAAATTTAAAAAAATTTGGACTCTGAACTACCCAATTCTGCAGTTAACTTATTTTCATGATAAAATGCACTTGAAGGCATCAATGCAAGAAGTTCCTTAGTCACAAATAGGTTATTCTGAGATATTGCGGTTTGAAGGTTTATTTTTAATTATGAAATATTACACAAAAAATACATTTATAATAATTTGGGACTTAATTTAAAACAAAAAACTTTTAATTTAAAAACCTAATAATACAAATACATAAAACATGGTACAAGAAGGACCAGTTTGGCGAACTAATTTCAGGCAGTCGCGCGCATGACGTCACTACGTGACAAAACTTACGGTTTGTACCTATATTAGAAACTTGCCTTTTAATTTAAAAGTTTCTACTGAAAATTATTCAAGTATACTTAATAAAAAACGGTATATTTACATTACATAATATCTTTGTACCTTTAAGAATACAAATTAAAAAAAAAACCGTTATTTTACACAACAAAATATCTGTATTAAATTGTTCTCTTTAGGAATACAAATAAAAAACAGTTACTTTACACAACATAATATCATTCAGTGAAAAGTATTATTCAATGATAATATCTTTATTTAGGTTTTACATATTATTACCAATTTAAATTAGTAAAATAAATCTAATAAAAAATAAAATAAAATAAATCTAAAAGTTTTACTTCATAATTGTTATGTTTTTATTATCTTAAAGTATATTTTGATCTAAAATAGTATACTATGTATCAAGCTTGCGAGCGAGTGGTTAATAAAAACGAGTGGCTAGAGAAGTTTATAAACGAGTTGCATACTATACCTACTTTATCTACGACGAACACAATTTGTTAAAAATTCGACATCTGTCCACTTTCACCCGAATTCAATCTCACTTTTTCCCAATTTATAATAAAGCTATAGCTGAAGTTATAACTTCGCCTGTGACTTAAAAGCCTAAAATCAATTGTTTATAACTTCAGCCTAAAACGCCGTAAAGTCACAGCTTATGTTCTGTGGCTTAAATTCCCAGCTTATGTTCTGTGGTCACAGCTTGTCAATGTAAAGGGTTTTCCATTTTGAGTGTCATAACTTTAACCCTAAAAATAAGGCTGCTCTGGAATGTAAATGTCAAATCTTGACAACACATGTGTTCAGTACATTGTGTCAAATTAATATGGACAGATAACAATTTAACAGCGCTTAGAAATAATTCGTATTTACCATCAAAATGCATGTTCGGTTTGCCAAACATTTTGCAAGTTGCGAGAAATATAAGAATTATCGTTTAAGAAAAAACTGGTTTACTGGCAAATAAGTCAACTTTTGTGCATCTAAAGGATCATGTGAAATCTCAGGTTTACAAAAATAAGCCACGAACAATTCTCGACCTTAAACGAAACATTAAACGCACTATTCAAAGTATACCACGCGATATTTGTAAAAGAATAGTAGAAATTAGGCCTTCATAATGCATTCAGTCAGGCAAAGTCGAGGGGGACATTTAAACGATATTATATTTAAAACATAATGTCATCGATCGTTCTTTAAAATAAAATATAGATTACGGGATTATAACATGTAGTTATTTTTTTATCTCATTTAAAAGTTCTGACGCTCTAAATGAAAAACCCTTTAGAAGTACCTAGATAGAAGTTTTTTTGCTTCATCAGATAAATCTATCTTTAGCTTAATTATTTAAATTCTAAAGAATAAATATAACCTAATATCTTTTATAAAACAAATAAAAAATAAAAAACAGTAATTTACACAACCTAACATATTTATAACATTGTTCAATTTAAGAATTCAAATAAAAAATAAAAAACAGTTACTTTACGCAATATCTTTAATATTTAAATATTAATAAAACATAAATTGGTATAATATAAACATCTAATTATTTTATTTAAATTTTTTTATAATTTTTTGCTTTCTCATACTGGACATTTAGTTTATGTTTTTATTGGTGTTCTTGGTTTAAAATGCATGTTGTATCTATAAAAGAGTTTTTATCAGATACATTTATAGATTTATATACTTCTTTAGATAAATTATTTAAATTTTGAAGAACGTTTTTTCCTTTAGTGCATTTCCGATCGGGAGATCGGGAAATTTCCCGAGGCGCCGGTGACTTAGGCGCCGGCACGGCGCTGCTTTATTATTGATTTATTATTATATTGATTTATTATTGATAAAACTTATGATTTCCCGCGCCGGTCGGCGTGCCCCATCCGCCCCTGTTTCCGTTATAACGTATTTATTAAATTAGTAAACCATTGTTTATAATATTAAAAGATACCAAAATACCTATAGGTATTTTGGTATATATACACGAAAAATATCCAAATAACTTATTTACCACATATAAAAACACTTTACAGAAAAACTAAACCAAAACTCATATTAGGCACGTGCAGCGACAACGTACTTTTGTCACGCGATGACGTCAGACGATAAAAAGACACCGAAGATAAAGCTGGACATAACTTGTTGTCTTAGTAGTACCATATACATAAAATACATCTGTCCAAGTATCCATGCATCTGTCAACCAAATCAATCTCCTTTGTTTGTTTCATAATAGTTATTTATGTCATTAGGTTAAGAAGTACGGCTTTTTGTGCTAAGCTCAAGGTTTGAAGGCCGACGCGTAGCCTCATTTATTTATTAGCTAAAGATTACATTAAATGTACAATAATTATTATTGCTTTTAGAAGCAGTAATAGTTTGACAATACCTATAGGTACATGATTTAAGTAGAAATGGATTTTTGCTATTACATTGAATTCAATTAATTGTTTAATAAATAGGTAGGTGTCTAATTTCAATTTGTTTGGATTTTTATTTAAAAAATAGGTTGTTTGGAATGTTTAAGCTGTGTTTAACATTTAATTTCACTGAAAACTTAAAGCAAACTAAAACTTAAAGATAATTTAAATCGTAGAAAAAGAATCGTGCGTTTTCTTGGTGGCCTAACCTCACTTTTTGTTTTATTATTCATATTTAATTTTACAATAATTTAATGAAAAATATTAAACATTAACAGTAAAACAAACAAATTAGTGCTTATTATAAATAAATTAAACCAGTTTAGTACGTTAATTTCTTAGAAAAGGATTAATTTGTCAAAACAGTACCCCTAGCGAGAAAAAATCGAACTAATTACTTGCCTCATAAAAATTTTTATCGGCCTAGGCCATAACAAGGTATTTCTTTATCGAATGTTGACAACAATAAAGTTTAAATTATAGACCGCGTGGAGATAAACAATATTATATAATAGTTCATTATTATAATAGACCAGGCGCTGTAGGCACAAATTATACAAAAAAAGCATTTATTTCACTGCCGAGGCATAATAAGCTTTCGCCCGAGTTTTATATACCTACTAGTTTTTTTTTCAAGCAATTAATTAAATTATTTCTCAAGATTCTGTGACCTCATTTTTAGGTTAGGTTCAATTGACATTATGACAGTTTAGCTTTATTTCTGTACGGAGTTTAATAATAATTTAACTAGTATTAATATGAAGTCTTTCTATAAAGACTTATAAGTGTTATAATATGAAAATTATTGTATGCTTGAAAAAATAAGAGATTATTCAACACATTTTAATTTATTTTTCAGGCTTTGAAACGTCATATCACTGTAACCCATTGCACAAATGATTCCAATGATGACCCACTAACATTTCAACTATGTGTTTGTTGTGGAGAACCATCCGATTCTGGACATACAGTATGTATAAAACCCATATCTAAACATTTATGTTACTTTTTGCACAAAACCTTTACTTTAAAGTAACTTTGAATCACAGACTGCGTATTACACAGAACATAAGAGAATTAAAAGCGCTGTAGTGAAAAGTGGCAACAGGCATTGTTTGATTTTTAAATCTGGCAGGCTTGGAAATCCGAGGTGGATGTAAGCCATTGGTGGAAATATCCACACGTTTCTGCGGCGCGAATTTTGAATTTTTATTTAAAATATGGAATTATAACCGAAAAATGTTAAAATTTTATATTTTTTTGGGTTTTTAAAGAACCATATAGTTAATATTGTTCTTTAAAAATCAAAAAATATAAAATTTCAACAATTTTCGGTTATTTTCCACTAATTAAGTGGAAAAACACACATTTTTGTTTTTTTATAAATATATTAAACAAAATATACACTTAATTCAATTTTAAATTAAATTATAACCAACAAATAATATTTAAGTGAGGAGAAATTCAAAGTTAATTATTCTATAACTTTTAGTGAAATTTAAAAAAAGGTTTATCAAACATGTATAATAATTTATAATTATTTAGGTATAATTTATCAAAAAGTATGACATTAAATTGATAATTACCCTCTTATATATGCCTACAAGACAATTATCGCTTGATTACAGCGATAATTTTCAGAAATTTTAATTTTGTGTCACATAATAACAATTTTTATAGGTTTTTTAAGATTTCTTAATAAAAATGCAAAGGTTTATAAACAAATTAACTCTAAAACATATTACAAACCATTAAAATATTTGATAAATTCTTGATAAACAATAGTTCAATACTTATTGGTCCTTATTAGAAAACACACCTTTTAAAACAGTTCGAGTATATTATATAATTAAAATTAGTTTAAATTTGAATATGTAATTCATAAAAATAAATAATTTTGTAATACATACTGACTTATTGTATACCTATAGGTATTTTCAGATTTCTTAATGTAGTATTAAATTTCTTTATTGGAATAAACCAAAAGGCTAATGCCTAAAATGTTTAATGCAATAATTAGACTTATTACAAACCATATTCTTATAATTTTTAGGAATTATGATTATAATTTGTTTTTAAAATAAGCACAATACTGTAGTTTTGTAAAATATAGAATTTTTGGCAAAAAAGAATTCCTACTTATCCAAAAATTAAATTACATTCTTTGGAATATTTAATTTTTAGTAAAATTGGTTTAATTTAAATTAATAATCAATAGAACCACTTAAATCTCAATGTTAAAAATATTGTAATTATGTATTTGGCAAAATTAAATTCTTTATGTATGATTTAACTTTCTGGTCAATATTAAGTATTAATTGTCTTTTTTCTTGTTCATGATTCATGGATTGAACCTGCGTCTTTTTCTTGATTCAATGAAGAATATTCAACTGCAATTAATATTTTCTATGTACTTTTGCAAAGAAGTTTGATAAATTCAAGTCCTGTTCTTCCATTAACACAAACCCAAACCTGAAATTAATATCAATTTTAAAATCAATTTAAATTGTAAAAAGATTGATATTACCTAATAATTTTTAAAATTAAATAAAAATAATTTCGCAATATTTATGCTGAAGCAAATAATTGAATGGTTTATTGTAAAAACAAGGGAAGTGACTAACTAAATATGATTATGTTTATTTTTTAATTTAAAAATCTTATAAAAACTAATAATGGTGAACTTGTGCTGTTTTAACATGAAAATATTCTTTTTTAATATCTTGCTAAATAATAATCTAAAGCAGAAGTGTATGTAATATAAAAATGTAAGATTGCTTGTTTTTAACAATAAACAATTTAATTATATTTGGAGTAAAAAATAAAAGTGTATTTCTTTAATGGTCAAGGCTTTTACTTTTTTTATATTTGTATTGTAACTATGGATGTGTGAATATTGAATTCAAGAATTATTTGAATAGTTTGAATGTTTCAAATTTTTAAAAGGTTTAATAAGAAAATTAAAATTTTCCAATAGTAATTGAAGAAATGGAATATGGAATTTAATTTAATTTAAAATTTATTTTTAAATAAAAAGTTTGAATGTTATTTACTTGTCATTAACCCTTAATTATCTTATTTGAATAGATTATGATTGTAATTATTTAACTATTCAAATAATTCAAACTATTCATGTAGTCTGAATATTTAATTTTAAGTTTGAATTAAATATTACTAGTTAATTAATTTGGTAAAAATATTCACACACCCCTAATTGTAACTAAAAATGTATTCTAAATGAAAAAAAATATCTAGGTACCTACCTATTATTAAAAAATTTTGGAAGTAAAATATTTCTGCTTGGGATTGACGAGTAAAGCTGTCTTTCATTATTTTTCTTCATGCAGGATAAATCTTTTCTAATTGTTCCATTATGGCAAAACCTAAAATTAATGCATTAAATTAAAATCAATTTATATTGTAACAAAAAATGATTGAATTTAAAACTTTAAAAATATTTCTTTAAAAGGTTTGCTTATGAATTGTCTAGTTATTTATGTACATTAAAAATGTCAGACTTTCAGATAGAACAAATAAAATAATTATGAACATACTGTAAAAGATTATCACCCTGTAGATCAAAAATTCAAAATGCCATGTTTATGTAAAAAAAAACATGGAAAGCACAAAACATTTGTAATATAATCAAGTTTTCAACTGTATGCTTACAAGTGTTTTATATGACCTCCTCCAGCTGCAAACATCTAGTAAATACTCGAACGTTTTCTATCCCAACCAAAGGGTCTGAGTGGTAATTTCATCAATGGCAGTTCCAATTCGTGTCTTTAGTTTTCACAAATCTTGGGGCTCATAAACTTTATCTTTTATAAAGCCCCAGAGAAAGAAGTCGCACATTGTGAGAGCGGTTGAATGTGTTGACCATAGATGAAGTGCCAAATTGTTGGGCCCTTTACGTCTGATCCACCGATGAGGGGGCTGGACCCAGGTCCAGTTTTCGCGTAGCTGTATATGCAAGGTACCAAGTATTCTTCTATGCATGGGTATTTTTTTTATTTGAAGAGCTACAACGTCGGTTAAATAAGACAAAAGTTGCGTTAATACAAGTCTATTAAAATAGCATTTAAAAATTAGTAGGTAGGTATTGTAATCAAAATTGGAAAATAAAAATTTGATATTTAAAATGATTTACAAAATATTATAAGTAGATAACCTACAAATTTACCAAAACAAAGATAGGTATACCTTTTGTAATAATAAGAATATTGTAAAAGCAACTAGGTATAAAGTGTTAATTTTTAAATAAAATGTACTACTTAAATAGATTGAGCATTGAAAATTTCGAGAAAACATCATTAAAAACTTACATGTATTAAGGTTTATTTACGTTGTTATTTTTATTCAAAAAACGTTAAAACCATTCCAATTAAACACTTTATAAGTTTTATTATAGAAAAATAATAATCTCTTTGTTTTATTACAACTTTCATAACATTTGTTTAAGGAAAACATGGAGAAAAAAACCGAAACGGTTAATTCTACGTATTTTTTAATAAAAACGCGGTAGTGATGCTACATTTAACTTAAACATGCCTATATCCACCTAATATAATGTTAAAGCAGGGATTAACAATTTTACTTACCTAAAACAAAGAAAATCTTGGTTAAAATATTTCACTCAACACAATTACAAAGCGGTTCAGCCATTTGCAATTTACCACAGCTGATAGAGAACGGACGGGTTGCTGAACAGCCAATCACAACAAAGGAAATCATGTGGATGGTCAATCCCACCAATAGTTTACATCCACCTCGGTTTTCCAAGCCTGCTTGATTTATTTTACTGTTGCCTATTGTCAAATTCCCCTTATACCCCCCTATTACTTGTATTGGAAAATTCTAGAGATCTGTCAGAGGCTTGTCAAACCGTTTAATAAAATAAATAATAAAAATTTTAAATCGTATAAAATCTGTAATATTTCGATTTTTTATATAAAATTTTAAATTTGTCGATAAATTATAGTAGATTATAAATTGCACCACTTTACTTTGAATTATCTCAAATAGGAGGGCCAGGAGGCGGGTGAGGCGACACTAAAAACTAACTTTTTTTCGCAAACTTCAATTTAAATTTTGTTTGCGCCGAACTTGTCTATTTAATGTCATTATAAACTATTATAAATTTGGTGTGGCCCATGTCTAATAACTAAGATATTGGTATACCTAAAATTCACCAGCTGCCACTAATATGATCTTAGATTGATCTATCACACAAACACGTCCTCACAATTAAAATGCAAACAGTTGAGGGCCTTAAAATAAAAGGGATATTTGTACAGCTGCCTGAGAAGCAAAAATGCCTTATCTACAATTTTAGGTTATAGAGGGCAAAAGATCATTTTTATTGTTAAAAATAAAAATGATTTTGTCTCCTTTTTCAGCTAATTTTGTATTAAGCCATGTTTTGCTTAACAGGGCAGTTGCACTTATACCCCTTTTATTCTAAAAAGCTCAATTGTAACACCAAACATTGCTTTTATTAGATCGGCGACTTCAAGTGCGAAGAATGTGGCAAGCTGTTCCTGCAGCAAAATAACTTGGCGCGTCACGTGAGCGTTGAACATCCACCTAATAACGAATACGTGTGCTCCGAGTGCAAAAAGAAGTGCGCGAACGTGAACGAGCTTGTCGATCACATGCGTATCCATCCCATCAAGAGCATCAAATGCACCGGTTGCGACCGAGAGTTTACGAGGAAGTATCATCTGGATCGACATTTGTTTCATACTGGTTGTATGGGAACGGAGAAGAAGGCGTTTGAGTGCAGGGTTAGTACATTTTTAAATAAATATGTCGAAGATTTTTTAATATTCTGGTTTGATGGATATTCAACAATATTTAAAAAAGTGGGCTGAATAGAAACTGTATTTAATATTGTATGTATTTTGCATTCTGGAGGTAAACAAAAACAATTTAGAAGAATGATGTGAGAGGTCAATTTTAGATTGCACACAAAATTTAAAAAACTACAAATGTAATGGTAAAATCCTTTATTAAAAAAATCAATAACCTTGAGTTGACCAATGAGCTACAGTTCTTTATTAGATAAAAGTTTGTAAAATGAAAACAAAAATTACCAAAATTTATAATTAGATACAAAGGCCTTCAAAGTAAAACTTTTAAATATTTCATTACCTACAGTTAATTTTTTTATTTGGACTCTTGTTTTTTATTAAGTTGGTAGCTTATGCCAGTTTGATTTAGTATTTTAAGTATATATATAGAATTGGTTACTTATTTTTAATTTAGTGATTAACTGTAATTGTCTTCTTTTCAAGACACAACCTTTATATGTAATGTTTATACTGTAATGGGGTTTTCCCGTTTAAGCAATAAATAAATAAATAAATATATAAAAAATGGTACTTCTGCTAAAGACCTTAATTAAGTACTCTGACAATGTCAAATTGACAGTAATATTTATTATTGATAATTTACTTGTTAATTATACAATATCGATATAAAAAGATAACTATGCCAAAAATAATATCAGATTCAAAAGTAAAAGAACTTTTAAGGGCAAAACTTCATTTTTATGAAGTTATGCCAAATGCTTCAATGGCAGAAAAAGTACATATGGACATTTTTGGAGTAAAAAAGTATCGTTTTTGGTTTTAAAAATATTAAATCGCACATTATTTTCAGCTCCTTAGATCAAATTTTTTTCAAATTTAAAAAATAAGGGGGAAATAAAAAAAAAAAAATTGCTGTTAGGTTCAACCTTTTTGTGAAAAATCTAGTGGTTAATTTCCCTGCCTTTGAAAATAAAGATAAATTTATTAAAGATAAAGATAGCATCCACTTAGTTTGAAAAAGATAAGCGATAACCACGAAACTTTTTCTTCTTTTAATTTGCAACTTACTGATCATTAATAGTCCTGGACAATATATACATTATAATTATAATTATATATTATTAACAGGGGCGTAGCTACCGCGGTATCAGCTGTATCAGTGATACGGGGCCCCCGGCTAGGGAGGGCCCCCGATTGGCTTCGACATGTGTAAGCAAAAAACATATTACCACATGTTAAAAAAATTGAGGCATGAAATTAAATAAATAAATAATAAAATAATATTATTTAATTGTTTATACTTCGATTTATTGAATTAAAATTTTCCTGAATACCCTCCTGTTCCAAAAAAGCCGTGAACTCATACGAATTGATTCTGTCCGCACCTTTCCGCTATGCAGCGCAGTCTGCGCATATTGCCGCGGCATACTGAGTCTGCTTTGCGTGTTATCATCATAGGTTATATTAATAGCAAATTAGAAATAATTATTAGCGTTACAATTATTTCAAATGACTTGCCTTTATTTTAAAATAGAAACCTTTTAAAAGATGTTGAAAAACGGTAAATGTCTAAAACCAGACCAAATTTTAAAATTTGCCTGTACATAAAAAGCTATGTATTAGGGTGCTTCATTTTAGAGCGATATTTTTTTTCAAAGTCTCACCAGAAAATCTTGTAACCGGTCAGAAAACAAAAATTTTTAGCTATTGCAAAGCTCTTAATCTTTATTTAAAGCTGTTGCTATTCAATTTTTAATAATTTTCTTTTAAAAAACAATGTAAGTTCAGTAAGAATATTTTTTTCGAATTTCGGTTCTAAAATCTTTATACAGGATAAAATTATCTTCAAAAATGTCTATTTAAGCAAGTCTGTAAGTTGAATATGTTCTTCACAAATAGCCGTTCTACTCGAAAATCTTCTAAAATAGTAGTAAACCTTTAGAGACTAAACTATTGATTGTAGATAAAAAACGTAAATAACAATTTTGTAGGGAATTTTGTGCCCTACAAATTTGTTAAGAAATATTTTTCTGTATCACTTATAGTTTAGTCTGTACAGCCACTCAAAGTGTCAAATTTCTAAAAATTCAGTTTCTGACTGTAACTATACTATTAGAGTTACGTGAAAGAGAATCTGTACAAGCTAAACTATAAGGGATACAGAAAAATATTTCTTAACAAATTTGTAGGGCACAAAATTCCCTACAAAATTGTCATTTACGTTTTTTATCTACAATCAATACATTGGTCTCCAAATACGATTTACTGCTATTTTAGAAGATTTTCGAGTAGAACGGCAATTTGTGAAGAACATATTCAATTTACAGACTTGCTTAAATAGACATTTTTGAAGATAATTTCATCCTGTATAAAGATTTTAGAACCGAAATTCGAAAAAAATATTCTTACTGTACGAGCGGAAGGAGAAAAGAATAAAACATTGTATTTTAATGGTTTTTAAAGGGAAATATTTCAAAATTGAATAGCAACGGCTTAAAGATTAAGAGCTTTGTAATAGCTCAAAATTTTTGTTTTTTAACCGGTTACAAGATTTTCAGGTGGGACTTTGAAAAAAAAAATGTCGCTCTAAAATGAAGCCCCCTTCTATGTATACATATATTATTTATTAAATTATAAAAAAATTGGTAAATGCAAAAAAATGATACCCTAATAAATTTTTTTAGTTTGCCCAAAATAGACTTTGGGCGTGACACCCAGAAATTTTTTTGCCAGCAGCTTTTCCCTTATAAGGGCCCCTACCGGATTTTTGATACGGGGCCCCCTCGAGGCTAGCTTCGCCACTGATTATTAAGCCACTACAAGTATTAACGTCCAGTGGCTTTAACAAAATACCCATTCACCATTGTCCAATGTTTGGACAACATTCACGTGTGTTCACATAAAAAAATTTATATATAAATTCTTTTCAAAGCTAAGATTATTATCCGCTAGGAATACTTTCTCTTCTGGGCCGTAAAGCAACCTATATTTAACTACTTTTTTTATATGATTTTACTCATCCAAGCACCACCAAAGCCAAATTAATTGCATTTTTAATTACGAATTTTGACAACTCAACTTGATAACTAGTTTAGTTTGTTTTAATCAATGCAACCAATTTTGGTTCCGTATTTACCAACAAAACCACTAAATTTGCAACGTTGCCGCAGTCCAGATAAAAAAATGAACTTTATATGTACCTAAACCAAAAAAAGTAACGATTATTATTGTAATACATACCCTTTTGGGAAAAGCCCACAACAACGACGAAATATTGAAACAGCGTTGTGTAAGCGTCTGTCGATTGTTAGTACCTACCTATGCGAGTAACATGGCAACCAAAGACGTTCTGATTTTCCATTGAAATCTTTTAATCCATCAAAAATACTGATCATCCGCCTTTTAATTTTATTCCAAAATATACGCGAAAACATGTAACATGACCAGGTCCTCTCTAAATATAGATCTGAACCTCCTTAAGCGGTTTTACAGCTAAAGCTAAATTTTCATGTATACGTTTGTCCGGTTTTTCAATAAAATCGTATGACAAGAAATGTTCTAATTTTCATGCATACCTAATGCTTATTAGTCATAGTTACAATTATGTCAACAATTAAAACTTTAACAGTTATCTGTCTAATAAATTTAACGGTAGGTAAATATACCATATAGAATAGTACATTCTGTAACAAGTTTGGAATACAGCATATTCCGCTCGAGGAAAAATTTGACACACGAGCCGAAGGCGAGTGTGACGGTTTTACGAGAGTGGAATATGCTATTCCAAACGTGTTTCAGACATTATTTTCTCTACGACTACGTAAGAATAGTAACGCTTATATAATTTTGAACAGAGAAAAGAAACCAAGCAGTTTTTGACATTTAAGTTTTTTGTATTGTCAAACCATTTTGTGCTGTCACAATTTTATAATGTAAATTATAATAAATTTAAACAAATGGTATGCCTAAATCTTTATTATAATTAAAAATAGTTATTTACACTAACTAATAAAAAAAATAACATTGTAACAAATACAAAACTAATTTTACAAGTAATCTATGTCAACATCTATTCTTTTTCTACATTTTAAAGGTCTTTTTTTTAATTTTTTGAATCTGTCAAAACTTCAAAGCCGGTATAGTAGGTAACTGGTTTATCATTTTAATATCAAATTTATTATAATTTTGATTTGTATATTTGAAAAACAATAAATATAACTAATTTTTTGTGCCTAAACCTTAATTATACACTTTCTATTATTTTTTAATTAATAAATAATACAGTAATATTTAAATATTTTTAAATTTTTACGTTTAGTAAACAGCCAGGAGATGTCGTTACTTGTGATCATTCTTAAACAAGAGTAGGAATATTCTCGCACAGTATTGCAGAAAAACATCCTTTTTATGATCAAAAATTACACTAGAATGTTACTATTCTTAAGTAGTCGTAGAGAAAGAATATACTAGCCTTAATAAACATTAAAATGTATAGTTTTAAAAAAGCAGGTCCTTTTAGTTCTGGTTTTAATATTTTTTTGTTTTTTCCATTCTTATTAAATAAAGACATAACAGTAGAACATTATTCACATAACGAACGTAATTACTCCGTTTTATAATCATAATTAAAAAAATATAAAAGATTTGAAAATAATAACGTTGGGCGTCAAAAACCGATGTGTAGTGACGGGTGAGTAAAAATTATTTTAACTGTGGGGACATCCATTAATTACGTGAGGCATTTGATAATTTGGACCCCCCCTTGGTGTCTCACGTAATTAATGGATGTCCCCTTTCGTCAGACGTACGAAGTTGAAACTTGACAGGCCGATAAAATGTCATAATTTTCGAATTATAATTGGACCAATGATAGGACTACCGGACAAACGGATACATGAAAATTAAGCTTAAAGCTAAATTTTCATTTATCCGTTTGTCCGTTATCCGTTTTTCAATAAAATCATTCGACAAGAAATGTTCTAATTTTCATGCATTCGTTTTCTAATGACGTTTAATGGATTGATTTGGCCACAAATAGAAATTAAGGGCCAGTATATTCACTTCACCAAATTTACCTAATGCTTAATTGTCAGTTACAATTATGTCAACAATTGTAACTTTAGAGTGCGTTCGAAATAAGAGTGTACTTTGGATATGGTATAAGTATAGGTATATAATCACGTGACTTTACATTATACCTAACCTCCTTGTTATTTTCGAACGCCGCGGAGCATATAACTATAAACTTTATGTTGTAGTGTTCTAAAATCAATTGGTTTTGCCTTTTATTTGACTGAATACATATAAATATTTAATTATTGAATTTCAACCCTTTAGTTATATGGATTATTCAAGTTTTTGTGATAGATTTTCTTTTGTTTTTTAGAATTTATATTTTTTAAATAATTTATTATAATAAATTCTTTTATTTTAATGTTTTTCTTTTTTGTTTTATTGAATTTTAAACAGTTATAAATAAATTATATGAAGGTAAATACAAATTATTGCTTGATGTACCCTATGCGCATGACGGGTAAAACTTAACCAAGTCTAAAGCTTGGACAACCGAGAGTGCACTCTGGGCATATACTTGCTGATTTCGAACAGCTGACAGTTGCATATATCTAGGTATATACCAAAGAATTCCAACGCGCAAGGTAAACTTGGAGTGTATCCAGAGTGCACTCTTGCGAGTTTTCGAACGCGCTCTTAAGTTATCTGTCTAATAAATTTGGTAGATAAATATACCATATAAAAAGAATATACTAGCCTTAATATACATTAAAATATATAGTTTTGAAAAAGCAGGTCCTTTTAGTTCTGGTTTTAATATTTTTTTGTTTGTCTTTTTTTTCTATTCCTATTAAATAAAGACAACAATAGAACATTATTCACATAACGAACGTAATTACTCCGTTTTACAATCATAATTAAAAAATAAAATTATAAATAAATAATTATAATATTATTATTATACGTTAGGCGTCAAAAACGGATAAGTTAAAATTATTTTAACTTTCTCCGTTATACTGCCCTGGTAAGCCAAACCCCCGTACGTGCAATATTGAGTTATAAGGTACAAAAGATCATTTTCATTGTTAAAAACAATAAAAATTATCTTTTGTCCTTTAATACTTAATATTGCGTACGAAGTTGAAACTAGACGGACCGATGAAATGCCATAATTTTCGAATTATAATTGGACCAATAAGAGGGCTCCCGGATGATCGGACTAACGGATACTTGCAAATTAAGCTTAACTCCTTCCTCCTGACAACCATGTTTAGTGCTAGCTCTGTATGGTTCGACACTTGCTTGCTCTAAAGATTCTACATACATGCCGAATTAAATTATCCGTGCCTTTTTGTAGCAATATTGGGTGTTAACCCCCGGTGACGTAACTGGATGGAATTTTCCTATTGCCCATTCAATTATTGTCGGGTTAGCTATTTGCGAGGCTATTTTTTAGTCACCTGGGATAATGTATAAGTTTTTTCGTATTAAAATTTTGATTTTTCCGGCAGCAAGCCGCAATTTTTCGCCTTTTCAGCTGCTTCCTCAATTTCATTCATCTTTAAACTTTAAAACTGACTGATGTCAGTTGACATTATAATATGACAATTATAACAAAAATTCTTTGACGTAAACGTCTTTAAAAACAATAATATATTAAAAATAATAATATATTAATCGTGCATAAAGTTTTGTATGCATTGCTGGCATAACTAGTTTTTATGGTCCTACGACGCTTTTCTAGCCCTCGCGCTAACGCGCTCGGGCTCGAAATAGCGCCTCGGACCATAAAAACCTTATTATGCCCTTAATACATAAATAACTATTATATCAATTATACATTTTTAATTTTTTGCTCTTTAAGGTATGCTCTAAAATGTTCACAAGAAAAGACAATTTAGCTGAACATTTAAGAGCGCATGCTGGCCAAAAGAACAACAGAAAAGTTTTCCATTGTGAATTTTGCGACAAAACCTTCAAAGGTCTCCCATTACTAAACATTCACTTACGCACACACACAGGTAAATAAAAATTCAAATTTAAAAGTATAAAAGAATAGTTGGAAAATGACATTGCGAATGTGACCGTCACTTATTACCAAAAAGATATATAGGGTGTTTCTACTGTAAGTGGACTAGGTAATAGAGGTTGGATATTTTTTTTTAATCAAAACAGCATAAATTAAATAATATGTATTCTGCTTTTCTTTTATTTTCTTTTCTTTAAAAATAAGATTTTAACCCTTTACAGCCTTACAATTTGTTAGTATCATATTGCCCTCGACGCTTCCGCGAACCAGAGCTCTCGACTTCGAGCATACATAGATTGTCCAGTCCCACACTGGACCAATTTAATTAAGTTTAATAGTCAAATTAGAGGAACTACAAAATTTTAAGAAAAATTGTTCGAAAAAAACATTGCGAAAGGGGTAAAAACCAAATTACAATTCCAAATACCAATTTCCAAAAAAGTTGTTGCGTTTTTTTTACATATATTTATGCAACAATCCTTTGGGTAGCAAATAGGTTTTATAAATATTTATATACAGGTCTTTTTAAGTTGGCAACATATGGGAAACTTTCCTATTATTAATTTTACAAAGAAAAGTTATTCTTTATAAAAAGTTCTGCATGTTTTAAAATCTAAAATAAAATCATCAGATATTTTTTCAGTCATATACGAGGTTTAACAAAAAATATGAATTTGGTACAAGACCTTTATTTGTGACAATATGGAGAACTGTAATTATGAAAAGTTGTTCGAATAAAAAACTATGTTTTAATATGCAATAACATCCTTCTACTTTTTTTTACAATTTTTTCTCAAATTACCGATACCGAACATTTATCTTTTTTATTTATTATAAACATGATAACCTTTCAGTTCCGTTCAAAAAGTAATAAGCAAATTCTCATGTTTTGACATTCAATGTCAAACATTTCTTGCTATCAACAAATCATTTCTTTGTTGGTGCAATTACATGTAACTACAGTTACAATTGCATTGCAACAAAAAAGAAAAAATGTTTTTTTCCATGAAAATGGAAGTAATTGCATATTTGAACGTAGTTTTTAGTTCTGATCAATTTTTTTTTAATAAGAATTTTCGATATTGTCGATATAAAGGTACTTTACTCTTTAGTAAGATTCATATTTTTTGACAAACCGCCTATACGACTTAAAAAATATTATATAGAACATGCAGAACTTTTTATTGTGAATAACTTTTTTTCTTAAAATTAATAATATAAAAGTTTCGCATATGTTGCTAACTTAAGTAGACACACTGTATATAAATTGCCTGTATTTTAAGTTTATTGTCCTCTGTGCGATAAACGGTTCGTAAGTTATTAAAACAAAACGTTAGGGGTTTGTTCAAGATGGCGGGCCATGGCGGAGCGGGGGTTGTTCGGATTAATTCGAAAACCATAATGATACTATTGAATTTATGCTCTTTCGATAAAAAAAAATAAATTTTAACCGGTACTGGATTGTTTTACTGGCCAATGTAAAAAAAACCAAAATGATTGACAGCAAACTTTATAAAGTTAATGGCAGCCATTAGAGACCCTTGTTGAAGGGCCATGAAAAAATGAATGGTATACCGCTATACTGCCCTACTGTGGAGAAAGGCAGTAACTGCAAAAAAAATAAAAATGCGTTTTCTTGTGCTATGGTAAAGCTATGGACATTTTGTAACCGAATTCAACATAGAAATGCAGTCAAATATCTCATAAGTTAAAAAAAATCAATTAAATACCTACTGCTTTTTATAAAAACGTAGTTTATGATAATTTTCCACAAATTTCTTGTTTAGCAATTACTGCCTTTCTCCATAGTAGGGCAGTATAGCGCTCCATATAACCAAAGATAATACCCCCCATATAATCGGCATATCGTCGGGTTACTGCAACTTGCAGTCTGCAAGAATAAGATAACTCCATTTTAATAATTATAAATAATTATTGTTTCTGCAAGGACAATTAAAATGCGAGCATAAACGAATCGGTTAAACCGATCGATGTCGAGAGCAAAAAAAATGGCATAACTCCATTTTTAGTAAACAGCCATTCCACGCTACTCGGGAATTTTTGTAGCGTCCGTTACAATAAAAAATGTTGAGTAAAACTACCGTAATTATTATACTTATAAGTTTAAGCCTAATTATTACAAGCATAATAAAAATGTTTGCAATATTAACTATTGAAACAGTATTTAATTTAATTACGTTAGCTTTTAATCACAATTTTTTATTGTAACGGACGCTACAAAAATTCCCGAGTAGCGTGGAATGGCTGTAAATAGACCCAATGAAAATAAGTTACAAATTCAAATTACTCAAAACAGTGTTTTGGAAGTTATCTGGTTTTTGCACGAAACGCGTCGCTTAGCAGCGGGATAAAGGAGGGGAAGTGTACAATGCGCACAAATTACACTTTAGGTAAATTTTCAACTCTTGAAATATTACTGCTCGGGCACGTAAACTTAATTTTTGGTCGTAGGTTCCAAATCCATGTTCGGTTTAGCTGTATCAAGATTTTCTTATTAGGAATCCGATCCGGAGACACTGTATACTGCCAGTACAACACTGGTATATTATAATTTGTAAAATAATATATTTCACCTCTTGTGACAACATTCCTATGCTTTTTATTTCGTTTAATATAATATAATATAAGAATTAGAATGAGAGAAAACTGTCAAAATAATATTATTGCTTAAAACCGGCTTATCACTGACATAAGTCATTAAAATAATTACTATAGGTTATAAAGAGCATTGACGTCGTAGGTTAATTAAATAATATTACAAAAATTATTACCTTTTAGAAATGAAAAAAAAACATTAAAAAAAATTGGTTCCAGTACACAATAGCACACTCTCAAAATCCAATTTTTATTGGAAATTTTCGACACAAATGGATATAAAACCAGATTTTAAGCATATTTAGGTGCGGAAAAACCAAACTTTCACTAAAATATATGTTTATAGTGTTAAATTCAACAAACCTGGTATATTATAATTTGTAAAATAATATATTTCACCTCTTGTGACAACATTCCTATGCTTTTTATTTCGTTTAATATAATATAATATCCTAAATTATACCCGAAAAAAAATCAGCAAAAAAACATTTTGAATTTCTTAAATTATCTAAAAAAAACCTCAGGGACACGTGTTCCTTTTGATCAATTGACCTCAAATTTTGCAAGAATTTGTTTGTTTTTTAATTTGGAACTGCTGTGGGGGTCCAGCAAAATTGATTTTTTTTAAATTTATATAGGGTGTTTTCTAATGGGATGCTCCAAAACTTGAAAATTAAATATCTTTGAAGTTTGACCTGATACAGCTAAACCAAGCACGGATTTGTGGGGGATTTAAAATATATGATACCATAGAAATATTAATATGTCCACGCATTATACGAATTACAACTAAATAAAATTTAGGTTATATCAAATTTTTCTAAATCATTTGCTTACATCACCTAGGTTAAGCTAACATACATTTCTGTGGTTTGGCGGCAAAAAGTGGCATAATATGCATATTATGTAAAAGCCACGAAAACATCTCATAAACTAAATGAAAAAAAAAACAATTCAAAAACAATTGGTATAGGTACAACAGAAAACAATCAAAATGGTTGATTATAAAAACCATGTACATATTATTAATATGATATTAATATGTCTATGATAAAAATCTTTTGGCTATCGTGGTCGGAATACGATGTTGCCAAAATTATTACTGTTATAAACATGTCATTATAAAATCTAAAATATCATCGTTTTGTATGTTTATTATTTTTAAATGCTTTTTTTATATAATTTATTAAAAACTATTATTCTTCCCAAATAGGGACAAAAATATGGTATTTTTTTAAACCGGCAATGCCATACATGCAATCTAAGCATGCAATACAATCATACGGGTATTTTCACTTCCCCTGCTTTCAGTTCCCCCACAAAAAGGAAACAGTCTCAGTTAAAAATAATATGTGTATAATTATGTGAAGTTTCCAATCTATGAGGGGTATTATCTTTGCATATAACTATTAAGAGCTTGTCAATACGTTTTTGCCAGCGTGGCTTGCCGTAAAAATGAAGTGATTGGCCTACTAAAAGGGCATTTACAATTGTTTTAACATTGGTAGACAAAACTTTCTTAGAATATTATATTGTTTTCCGACGCCCGTAAGACACCATGTATATTATAATTCCTGTTTATGTTTTTATAAGAATGTCAGATAAACTTAAAATTAACTTATTTACTCATTTATGGTTAATTAGGACGGTCATTTATAGCGATTTATAAAAGTGTAACTCTAATAAATACTATTTCTTTTTAATTTAAATTTTTAGGAGAAAAACCTTATCCATGTGATTTTTGCGACAAAAAATTCTCATCTAGTGGGGCACAAAAGAAACATCGTAGAATTCATACTGGAGAAAAACCCTATAAATGTCCAGCAGTAAGTTTTTTATACATTTTTTGGAGAAATTGTGTTACTTCTTAATTTTAAATATATATTTTTGTATCTTTTTGTAAATCCAATTTATTTTTAGTTTTTAAAAACGAGTTCTTAAATATTTTTTATGATTGACAAATTGTTGATATTTTTTACTCTTCAATATTGTCTACAATAGTACAAAGTATACTTCTAAGTGTATACTTCTATGGGTATCGTTTTTATTTGAAGAGCTACAAGGTCGGTTAAATTGGATAAAAGTAATTGAATCGGTGAGATTAAGAACAGTACAAGGTCAAAACTTTTATTTTGATAAATCATTTTCTAAAATTAATTTAAAAGTTTAAAATGCATTTTCAAGAGAAGATATAAGATTTTATAAAATATTATTATACTTTATAAAGTAGTTAAACATAACATAATAAAACTGATTTTATTAAATAATAATATTAACTTTGGACTTTTACTGTTCTTAATCTCACCAATTCAATAATAAACCTATTAAAATAATTACCATCTTTTGTTTTTATAATGGCTGCCATAACTTATGTACTTCGATACATCATTGGATTCCTTATTTCCTTATTCTGACCATGTAAAATTTTAATATGGCGGCCAAAGAATAACAAAGTAATAATGATTTTTGGTTTTGGAGTGTTTTTAGTTTTTTTCAAAGATTTTGAGAACCGCAGATATTTTTTCCAATTTTTAAATGCCATTTTAATAGATTGTAATTACGCAACTTTTGTTTAATTTAATCGACCTTTTACCTAGATACTGATACATAGAAGGCGCAGGCTATATATCGTTTTTCCCATTTCCAGTGCGGAAATTCCTTTGCCGCCAAAGAAACCCTAAATCGGCACATGCGCGTGCACACCGGCGAAAAACCGCACGTTTGCCAGTTTTGCGGCAAGGCCTTTATTCAACCCACTCAGCTGCGCGCGCACATATTCCATCACACCGGTGAGAACGCGTACACTTGTCCGCACTGCAACAGGGCGTTTAATAGACGTTTGAGGCTGACCACACACATTAAATATGTGCACGAGGGCGCCAAACCTTTGGAGTGCGGCCAGTGTGACAAGACATTTTTCAGAAAGGAGGATTTGGCCAGGCATACTTTGGCGCACACTGGGGAAAGACGTGAGTAACTCAACTTATTATTTTTTAGTTAATGTGGATTTCTGGTGAGATTTTGAAAAAACAGAATTTTTTTGCAGATGTTTTGTTTTATAAATATTTAAGGTCCAATCATTGTTTTTACATCTAAAAACAATGTTTCATATGATATGATAAATATAATTTGGACGTACAGTTGTATTCAATAAAAAAGCGTACAAGAATTAGAATGAGAGAAAACTGTCAAAATAATATTATTGCTTAAAACCGGCTTATCACTGACATAAGTCATTAAAATAATTACTATAGGTTATAAAGAGCATTGACGTCGTAGGTTAATTAAATAATATTACAAAAATTATTACCTTTTAGAAATGAAAAAAAAAAAACATTAAAAAAAATTGGTTCCAGTACACAATAGCACACTCTCAAAATCCAATTTTTATTGGAAATTTTCGACAAAAATGGATATAAAACCACATTTTAAGCATATTTAGGTGCGGAAAAACCAAACTTTCACTAAAATATATGTTTATAGTGTTAAATTCAACAAACCAAATTTAATATTTAGTCATGCATCCCTGTTTTTCTATTACTTGAGCCAATCTATTTAGGATGAACTGAATTAAATTTAATACAATATTTGGATTAATATCTTCCCAAAAGTATAGTAGGTATAGTATAGTTGTATAGTTTTCCATAAATCCTCAGATATCCCAAAAAAGCAGCATCGTGTTCAGGGGTGGACATTTTGGGACAACCTGAACCAACTTTTTGGTTTAGTAAATCTTCCTGTTACCAGCGTTGCTTAATTTTTAATATAGATTTTTTATTTCTATTATACCACAGTACGAATTTATCATTCTTCTTCGATTCTTGATACTATTTGAGCCTTTTTAACTGACGAGGCATTTTTATTTTCTACTGTCAGTTATAGTGACTTAAGTCAGTGGAAAGCCGGTTTTACGCAATAATGTTGACAGTTTTCTCTCATTCTAATTCTTGTACGCTTTTTTAATGAATACAACTGTACTTTGGCGGCAAAACAAAATTACTTTAAAATAATAATATTATAATATAATAATAATAAAATGGCAAACAAGACAACAAACCGAAAAAGACACTGGAAGCAACATCATGGACCTACTAAAAAACATAGACCACACCTATAAAAAATTAAAGAATCTTTTGGAAAAAGTTCCCAACTTGTAAAAGTAAAGATCTTCTTACTTATGGTTGCATAGCCTTAGGCTAAAACCTTGTTTAGTCATGATGTATTACTGCACTAAATTGAATAAATAAATAAATAATAAACAAAATGGCTAGTGACCAGCCAACATTATAATAATATTATTTTCAAGTAATTTTGTTATATACCTATTATATTATGTTCTTTAATAGGGCCTGGATTATATGCATTTTGCAATAATAGTATATTATTATACGAGAAATAATGCAGACTAATATTCACGAGCAGGGTTGCCAGATTGGGCTATTTAAAGCCAATTGGGAAAAATTAGTTTAAAGAATATAAAAAGACTTTTCCCATTAATTAGGTATTTGGTTTTTGGTCATGCGGGATTCGGGCATCTGAAAATTTTATAGAGATAAGAGAGATACGTATTAACTTTGCCTACGCTTAGTGGCCCCAAAAGAATAAGAAAAAACTTTAAATAACTTTAGCATTCTTTTAATTATAATTCTTATTACAAGGCTATTGTAGTACTTTTTTTCTACTCCTAATACAGAATATGACCTGAAAGTATTACAGAATATTCTATATTCTATCATCGGATGACGGAATAAACATATACTTACTACACATATAGAGATCATTTTGGATTTAGGCTGTTTCCTTTTCGTGGGGTTAAAGTAGGGGCTAATTACTTATGCAGTTTTGCGTGGGGCCGTGTTGTCAGATGTAATTATATTCTAATATTATTTTCATTATTATAAAGCTTATAAAAATATGTTATATCGCAAAATTTATATTTTAGTTATATTAATTATGTTTTTAAGTATTAATAATGAAAAGAAGTATTATTTTTTAAATTTTATAAGAATGTTTTTTTAGCATTCGAAATTCGGCTACATCTTATTTTTTACCCAAGGACTCCTTGCCAAGGAGATTATAATCAAACATTATGGTCACAGAACAAACCATTTTTGGTTTACTGTTTGGCTTTGTTTTTATTGTTTACTTTGTTTTGAGCTTTTACGATTTTTGGACCTTTTTTATTTCTGTTTTGGAATGTTTTACATAGATATTTACATTGTAACTCCTGAATTTAATTTAAAATAATTTTGTTCATTAGGGGTTTATGATTTTTTAGATTTAGATAATTTTTTCGTTTTTGAACACGTTTTTTTATTGTTAAACTTTTTCTATTTTATTTAAACTATTCGAAACATTTAAATTTTTATAATAGTTTAAATATTCGATTTGAAATTTGAATGGAATATTACTATTTAAAATAATTCAAGCAGCTCTATGAAGCAGCATCTACACCCTCAGTATTATTAATCTCATGGGCACTTAAAGAATTATTACCAATACAATTTCAAATCCCATACAATTATTTTATCCCCAATTCTTGACCAAAAATATAATAACTTTTACAGCAAAACACTTCGCATTTTAAAACTAGTTTTCTAATATTTTTTTAATATAACCTAAATTCCTAAACTTTGAACTGCACGTGCGCAAAAGGTAGAGAGTAGCCAGCCTCCCCTTAAAAACGGGAACAAGGTCATCTATTCAAAATATAGGGAATAAGCGGTATATGTGTGGTAGGTATATGGGAATAAACACTGGTAGTCCAAGATCCCAGGGCCGCCAGACCTACGTCATTTTAATACTGCTGAGATTTTTTTAATAAATGTCCTAATATGTAGTTAAAAACGTATGGGTACTTGCTAGCTTGAAAGCGGGGCCCTTTTACAGATAACGGGCACTAAAGGTACATAAAAAAGGTACCTGTCTACGTTAAAGTAATACCGCTGGTTTTCATATATGTTTTACACATTGTTATTAAAAACCAACATTCATTATTGCCAGACGCATTCCAGGGGACCTAACTTCCGCCAGACGCTTTAAAGCTCAAGAAAAAAGGGCTGAACCTACGTTATAGTAGTACTCCTGAATTTTACATATATTTTTTGAGTGATTATTTTAAGACCTTTTGTAAGCAGCCAGACCAATCCGAGGGGCCCAAGCCCCCCCCAGACGCTTTAAAGGTCAAGAAAAAAGGGGGGAACCTACGTTATAGTAGTACTTCTGAATTTTACATATTTTATTTGGTTGACTATTTTAAGACCTTTTATAAGCAGCCAGACCAACCCGAGGGGCCCAAGCTCCCCCCAGACGCTTTAAAGGTCAAGGAAAAATGGGGGGAACCTACGTTATAGTAGTACTCCTGAATTTTATATATATTATTTGAGTGACTATTTTCTGATCTTTTGTAAGCAGCCAGACCAATCCGAAGGGCCGGAGGGCCCAAACGCTTTAAAGCTCAATAAAAAATGGAAAAATCTACGTTATAGTAGTACTTTTGAGTTATACATATTTTATTTGGGTGATTATATTAACACCTTTTATAAGCAGCCAGACCAATCCGAAGGTACGAGAGCAAGGCATGCATGTGAGTGCGAGTGATAGTATTAGATGCCTTTATTAGACAGCTTCATGAAATTTAAGTTGTGTATTTGTCTTTATGGAATTTTTTAATAATGATTTAATAATATTTAAATTCTTGTTATAAAATTAGTTTTAATTAAATTATTAAAAATTTCAAAAAATTTCAAAATTTCAAAGATTTTCAAAATTTTCAGGATATCCAAAATTTTGAAAATTTCAATTTTTTTAAATATTTTCCAAAATTTTCATAATTCCCACACTAAACTTGTACCAACCAGGATGAACAATGGCACTTAACAGTGTTAAAATAGCCACCCAAATAATATATATACATAATACAATATTACAGCCTATGATCTTATAAGGTATACTTTTTATCGTGTCTGAGGGGGGTTAAGCCCTTCGTATTAATCTGGCTGCTTATAAAAAGTCTTAAAATAGTCACCCAAACAATTTATATATAAAATTCAGTAGTACTACTATAACGTAGGTTCCCCCCTTTTTCCTTGACCTTTAAAGCGTCTGGGGGGCTTGGGCCCCTTGGATGAGTCTGGCTGCTTATAAAAGGTCTTAAAATAGTCAACAAAATAAAATATGTAAAATTCAGGAGTACTACAAAAACGTAGGTTCCCCCATTTTTTCTTGACCTTTAAAACGTCTGGGGGGGCTTGGGCCCGTCGGATTGGTCTGGTTGCTTATAAAAAGTCTTAAAATAGTGACCCAAATAAAAGAAGTTAAATTCAGGATTAGTACTATAACGTAGGTTCCTCCATTTTTTCTCGAGCTTTAAAGCATCTGGGGGGGGGGGCTTAGGCCCTTGGATTGGTCTGGCTGCTTACAAAAGATCTTAAAATAGCCAATTAAATAGTATATATAAAATTTAGGAGTACTACTTAAAATAGTCACCCAAATAAAATATGTAAAATGCAGGAGTACTACTATAACGTAGGTTTCCCCATTTTTCCTGGACCTTTAAAGCGTCTGGGGGGGCTTGGGCCCCTCGGATTGGTCTGGCTGCTTATAAAAGGTCTTAAAATAGCCAACCAAATAAAATATGTAAAATTCAGAAGTACAACTATAACGTAGGTTCCCCCCTTTTTCCTTGACCTTTAAAGCGTCTGGGGGGGGGCTTGGGCCCCTCGGATTGGTCTGGCTGCTTATAAAAGGTCTTAAAATAGTTAACCAAATAAAATATGTAAAATTCAGGAGTACTACTATAACGTAGATTCCCCCCTTTTTCCTTGACCTTTAAAGCGTCTGGGTGGGGCTTGGGCCCCTCGGATTGGTCTGGCTGCTTACAAAAGGTCTTAAAATAATCACTCAAAAAATATATGTAAAATTCAGGAGTACTACTATAACGTAGGTTCAGCCCTTTTTTCTTGAGCTTTAAAGCGTCTGGCGGAAGTTAGGTCTCCTGGAATGCGTCTAGCAATAATGAATGTTGGTTTTTAATAACAATGTGTAAAACATATATGAAAACCAGCGGTATTACTTTAACGTAGACAGGTACCTTTTTTATGTACCTTTAGTGCCTGTTATCTGTAAAAGGGCTCCGCTTTCAAGCTAGCTAGTACCCATACGTTTTTAACTACATATTAAGACATTTATAAAAAAAATCTCAGCAGTATTAAAATGACGTAGGTCTGGGAGCTCTGGGATCTTACTCTATGGTGGCGACATCTCTGTGTTTAATATCTAACAAATTTAGACTGATCCAACCTCACTTTCTTTCAATTAAATATTTTCTATGGTATTTTTTGGAAACGTAGAAAAAGTATTGTCTGAAACTCGTTTGGAATTGCATATTCCAAACTTGTTACAGAATATACCTAATATTACTTTACTTTGACTTAAATAAACATTATTATTATATATTTGACGGTTTTTCGCAAATCTTTTTTGTTTTCGAACGTGAATCTATTTACGTTTATATTCTTATTCTATGTTATAAACAATAAATAATACCAAAAACCCAAAAAATTGTTCCGACAAGTATGCCAAATATTCCAAATAATACAATAAAGACTGGGCAAATGAAAAAGAAAGAAAAATGCTATAACTAATTAATATTTTAATATTTTTTTAGGATGGTTACAAGAAAGCAATAATAATTTGGGTGCTATATTAGTGTTAAATAAATTATTTCCTAAAAACTTGACCCAGTTTTTTACAGTTTTACTCCCATTTATTTTTATTATATAATATTTATTTATAAGATCAAACGAACTTACCTGTAATTGAAGTTCGATCTTAATTATGTTCGGCTTCGTCGAAATAAATAATTTACAATGTAGTCCTTTCATTAAAGTACCGAATCACACGACAAAGGAGTTTGGTAACAAAAAATAATTATTAGTCACCCTGACTTCCATCTCAGATTAAGCCTTACCCAAATCATTTATTTAGAGCCTTAATTCTTGTCTGCATCTATAGGGTTGAAAAAAGGGTTGGGTGGGTAATTATTTATTTCGACGAAGCCGAACATAATTAAGATCGAACTTCATTACAGGTAATAATAATAATAATAATAAATACTTTATTGATCCCAAGAAACATAGATTGTTTATAGAGGGACAAACTCTAAACATCTAATAATTACAATATATCTATCACAGTGATAAAGCAACATTATCTTATAAGATAATTATAGTCTTACAAATATACAATATACAATGCAAATATACTTTATACATTAATTTACATATTTACTGAACTTTTTTTTTTCAAATTTAATACTCTAAAAGAAGACACGCAGGTTAGCCTCTTATCAAGGATTGAAATACTCTTTTATATGTCTTGTCGATTTTGTTTTTATATCTTTTGGTAAGCTGTTATATATATTAACACCTCTATATAATAAACATGCTTTACCATACTTTGAGTAGACGTGTGGAACTGCTAAATTATTATTATTTCTTGTGTTGTGTAGATGTATTTCATTTCTGGCTTTAAAATTAATATTCATATGTTTCTTCTCAAGTATATGAACAAAGCTACACACCTGATATTTATAAATATTATCAATGGACATTATTCTAAAGTTAGTATAAAGATCTTTTGAATGATATCTTGAGGGTAAACAATACAGGTTCTTTATTGACTTGTTTTGAAGAGTTTTTAGGGGCCTTATGGTGACAGCACTAGCCGTATACAATACCATTGTTAGATATTGCAGGTGAGAGTGTATTAATGAATAATATATTGATCTTAGATATTGTTTTGGGACATTATTATTTAATTTATATAGAATACCTATGGGTCCAGCAATTTTGCTTCTTAATTTATTAATATGGTCTCGCCATGACAGTAATTCGTCAATTATTAGCCCAAGGAATTTAATATTTCTAGAATATTTTAGACTCTCACCTGCCACATCCAATGGTTGCCTATCAAATAAGTTACGCCTATAGATATACATGTACGAGGACTTGTCAATATTCAAACTTAGCTTATGAGATTTAAACCAACTCAAAATCATCTTTAAGTCACAAACAATATTTCTCCTAATTGAGTCATAAGTATCTGAGAAGTATACTAAGGTTGTGTCGTCGGCATATAATCTAATGTTTCCCTTAAGCTTTAAATTTGTTATTGAATTTATAAATACTTTAAAAAGTGTGGGTCCTAATATAGACCCTTGCGGTACAAATTTTATTTCAATTTTGTCACTGCTTATTTTGTTTATTACAACTGCCTGAGTTCTATTCCTTAAATATTCCTCAAACCATTTCACTCTTATACCAACAGTTTTAATTTTTTTAAGAGTATAGAATGACTCACTGTATCAAAGGCTTTACAAAGATCCACCGACACCAGTGCGCACTTATATGATTTGTCTATGTTCATTTGAATACCTGTTACTAAGTCCACTGCAGCAGAGCTGGTATCGCTGCATCTTCGAAAACCATATTGAAGCTTTGAAAGGAAGTTTATGAAGTTTAAATAGCTTATAAGTTGTCTGTTTACTATACTTTCTATGAATTTGGAGAATAGAGGCAAAACATATATTGGTCTATAATTGTTCACATTTGATTTCTCACCACTTTTATAAATTTGTATTACCTTTGCAATTTGTCATAGCACTTTTCACAGATCCACTTTTTAATGACTGGTTTATAATTCTGGTTAACACTGGTAAGATCTCGTTTGATCTGAATTTTTGTTTCAATGGATATGCAATGTTTAGTTTTACCTAACAAAAGTACTTACTTTAAGAGAAATACACACCAAAAATCTTGTAAAAAAATTAAACATAAAGCACATAATTGATTTGTTTACCGGAGCTACCTCCTTGCCCCAGCGATGCAAAATTATAATTTATACTTAATTTCAAAAATAAAAAACATTCTAGAAAATTTTTTCTGTTTATTTATTACAATTTTTATAAAAATATAAAAAAATAAATCATTCTAGAAACATTTTTCAGTTAATTTATTACATATATTTTTTATCAACGTCAGTACATTCGACTCCACCGCATATGATATTTTTTTGTATTTTATTTGAAAATATTTGAAATTTTTTATTGATCGCTGATATCTTTGAAACGGTTGACCTGAAGAACTTTGACCTTCAGATGTTTTTTGTAGAGCGTGAAATTGTCTATAACTCCTCTCGCTTGGGTGGTGCGAAAACAAACCATTCCAAAGTTATAAGAATTCAAAATTTAAAAAATAAAAATTCCCGTGTTATTGAAATGGAAAAACAACAAATGAATTGAGGCAAACCTTAATATTAATATTAAGAGCTCAAATATGCGCCAAAATTTTTGTTTTTTAATGTACTATACTATTAATTTTTCAACACCATTAGAAAAAAAATAATTTTAGTTTTTTTTTAAACACCCTAGTATATATATATATATATTTGTGACTCAAATTTTGAGCATAACCACATTTCTGGATAAGTAAAAACTTAACAGTCAAAATACTCCCTTTATTAGAGACTTAGTAGTTTTTATTTGTTTTAAAAATTGTATTAATTTTTGCCTTTTTAAGTTGCTTAAGTTCCGTATAAAGTAAAATCGAAAAAGAAAGAAGGAGAATAGTTTATTTTCTTAATATTTATATTATATAATTTTATATTTATTTGATATCTATCCATAAGACCTTTATTTTTGTTATCGTTAAAAACCAAAACATTATGGTAACGTGGCTACCTGACACTAATGTGGTACAAAAGTCCGAAATACTCCGTTTGTCGGTGCCTGGTTCGGAGCACACCTGAAACAAAGGCCAGTTCCTAAATTTTTTATTATTTCAGCGTTCTCGTGCAATGAATGCAACAAAACCTTTATGTCAAAATCCTCGCTACGCATCCACAGCTACACGCACCGTAAAGAGCAACCGTGCAGCTGCGACACGTGCGGACGCGCCTTTATCAGGCAGGACTGCCTGATGCGGCACATGCGCGCTCGTCATCGCGATGTGCTCGAAGACATCATGGTTAGCGCCGAAAAGAAAAGACTGCAACAGCAGCTTCTCAGTGCTGCCACTACGGCGGCGGCGAACAAAAAGGGCGGCATCAGCGAGAGCATCGTTTGGAACGAGTTTACTCTCACCGAGTCGATAAAGGAGTTGCTTACATTGTTGGTGGATGAGGATTGTTTGAATGAATTTGGGTACCCGGATGCGCCGGTTGACAAAGTTTTAGATTCTGTTATAAAGAGGTGCGGGCATAAACCCGCCTCGGAAGAAGATTTCGATTATATCGGACGACTGAGGGAAAATGCGAAATTACTTTTCACCGTTGTTATTGATGATGATGCTGTTAAAGAGTTGTTGAACAATCAGACAGTGGACGAGGTTATTTTGCATGTTCTTAAGTTGGCAACAAAACAAAATGACGGCGAGGCTATGGAGGAAGCAGAGGGGGTGGGAAAAGAGGAGCCAGAAGAGAAAGTTGAGGTGGTAGCTTAAGTATTTTTATATTTTATTATTAAAATTTTTAAAATGTAAGTGTCTACAGGGCTAAATTAGTGAAACTTTTTCTACACGATTTTCTAGAATATTTTAAAGTACTGATGATATTTCTGGATTTTTTACTGATGAAATTTAAAGGTAACTCTGACAACCCTGTCTGTTTATTTTAATTAAACAGAACTTTTTGAGATTTATTTTGGTCTAGGGTTTTAATCATTAATTTTTATCCCTGTACACAATCAAGGACCCATTTTTTTTTAATTTATTCTCACATTTAGTACATAAAAAATAGTATAGTATCATTTTGGGTAAAACCTATATTTATTGCATTATTGATTTTTAATCTTTTCTTAAAAAAAATCAGGGCTCGATTTGAGGCGGAACGGAACGGAGTTGTGTTTTTTTACTGATTTTGTTAAATTACTTTGACACATTTTTGTACCTACTTTTTTTGCAAAATAAAATATGGAATTAAATAGAATAAGAGCATATTTTTTTTTCTGTTTTAATATACAGAACCGAATTTAAAACAATTAAATATAAATAAAGATTATGTATTATACATAGGAAGGAATATAATACATTATATGTTATAAACCAAAAGTCCAACTACATTTATCTAAACTATACTTGGAGATTTATGAAAACTGTTTAATTAAAATATCTTTCTGCTAATAAAACCTGAGACATTTTAAATAAATAAAAATAAAATGTGTCTACTGGTGTTATTTATAACATAATTAGTTAGCTTATTATTTAATTTTTAAGATATGTATTTTGTATTAATATGTTTAATTTATTTAAAAATGTTAATTTAATGTAGATATTGGGAATTTTTAAATTATTTATATAGAGGTAGATTTATAAATTATTTTTATCAATCTTTAAAAAATGTATATTGTATTTTTAATAAACTATTATATATTATATTTATTTTCACAAATATGCCTTTTTTAAACCTTATATAGCAATAAGGTAAGTAATAAATAAATAAAACTATGTTTAATAAATATAAGCACAAAGCATATTAAAATTAAATTACAAAGATTATAATTATTAAGTTCCTACACTTATCTGCAAAACATGGATTGTTAAAATGAATATTTGTTGGTTAGTTAAATTCTTAATTTTATTAGTTGCTTATAAATTTGTATTTTTTTGACTTCAAAAATCTATTTTACACAAAATAATTCTATCCTTATAAATAATATTGCAACAAATGTTACATTAGTACATTTTCAAGGAATGTATAGTATTACTCTGTACGCCTTGAGCAACATGTATAGGTATGGTAGAGTATAATCTTATTGGTAGACTCCACACCATTGTTTCTATAGGGACATCAGAGGGAGCTTGCCAATCAAATTGATCTAAATCAGGGGTTGCCAACTGCTTATTGGTACTGGTTACAAACTCAAAATGCAGCCGCCACTTTAAACTCACTAAAAAACAATTTTTTTGGAGAAGTAAAAACATTGTTTCATTATTTTTTTTTACCTAATTGTGTTGTAAACGCTGGTGTAACATGTAAAGGTATAGGCAATATTAATTGTGTGTACTTATAGCCTAAACATACTTCGTGGTGTTTACTGTATGTTATAATACGAACTTGTTTGGAATTTTCGTTGTTTACATCAATAAATGTTTCTTCTTCACATTGTAAAGACACTGAGACTTGCATACAATTTACTGTAGCCACAGTAAAATCAAAAGTCCCTATAATATCTTCACCCAACTTATAGGCTGGTTTAAAAATGCAAAATCTTGCAACTTTACCCCAAGTATTTGAAATCATGTAGAAATTTGGGTTTCTTCTGGCTGTAATATTCTAAGATATGTTAAATTAGAAAAACAATATTTTAAATATAGTTTATAAGAAACATATAGGTGATCAAAGAGAAATGGTAAAATTTACAGATTAAGTCTGTTGCAAAAACCATAATATAAATTATTAACAAAACTCAAAAACAGCAATATAATAACAATTATGTCCATCAAATTTTGTAGACTTTAAATTGACTATTTAATTTAATTAAATTGGTCCAGTGTGTGACTGGACAATCTACGCTCTGTTTTTTAATTATGCACAATGCATTAGCAAAAAAAATAGAAAGTTTGAATATCTATTTATCTATTTTGCGTTCATAATGACTTAACAGTGTTAAGTGATTATGAACGCAAAATAGATAAATAAGTTAACACCGCTTTCGGTGCTGTAGTGAGATACTTTATCCCACCTAAAACTTTGATTTTATAGGTTGGCTATACTTTAAACAACATATTTTGCATATTGGTTATAATATTTTTATGATTTTTCTAGTAGCAATTCCGGAAAAGTCTTGGCCCAGCATGGGTCAAGATACTTTGGACAGATTTTTGCTCAAGAATTGTTCCAGATTCTTGGCCAAGATTATTGGGCAAGACTTGAGCCAGACTGTGGCCAGAATTTGACAAGAATTTGACCAGAAATCTGAGGCCATCTATTGCTAAACTTTGGGACTATCCTATAGAGTAGAGGTTCTCATTCTACAGTAGTATCATTTACAATAATGTATACTAGTCGAGAAGTGAGTTCTCTGTAGGAAATGAGTATAGTTTTTTTGTTTATGTGAAAATACGAATAAGAGCTTATTGGATTCGTCTTCTGGCTGAGAAAAACATTGATTTTTTGAAAAATAAAAATTGTTATTTCTAAAAATCAAAAATAAAAAAAAAGTGTGTGTCAGCTCTGACGCATAACTAGAGTTTAATCTTTATGAACATGAAATATTATAAAATACATGTTTATTTTTACCTGTTTTTTTTTTAACATAGAAAATTAAAAACTTAACTCTTTCAAAATTTGTTTTGTTTTTAATTCTATTGTTTACCAGATTTATGGATAAAAACCGAATTTACTGGAAAGAAATCGTGGAAAATTAATGTTTTTAGTAACATTCTTAACTTTTGAAGTTCAACAACATTTTGTATTGACCAAAAATCTTGAATTAAAAGTTCCTATTTAACGTGTAATCGTGTAAAAATTCTTGGCCAAGAATCTGGTCAAATTCTGGTCACAGACTTGTCCAAGTCTGCCACCAGCCTGGATAAAGAATTTTGATCAAGAGTCTTGGTCAAGAATTGTCCATTTCTTTACAAAGTGCTTCTCCAAGTATCTTGACAAAGAATCTTGTCCAATTCCATTGCTACTAGGGTACTTACGAGACTTTTCTGGCAATAAATTTTGTTTAACATTAACAGCCGCTTATTGTAAATAAGTAAATTAAGGACGGCATGGCGAATCGATTTTGACATTAACTGTCAAACCAACTTTCTAAAGTAAAATTCGAACAAATTAAATTTAATGTATAAAATTAATTTTTTTTATAGAATTTTTGCAAAATAGATAAAATAGCATAAAGAACTCATGTCATAAGACCTTTTGTCGCACTCGTCCATTACAAAACTCGCTCCTTCGTCGCTCATTTTATAAATTGTCCGCGTGCGACACAATGACGTCTTATGACATTAGTTTTTTAATATACCTACTATTAATTGCACTTTTAATAGACATTGTTAAATAACTTTAATTTGTTAATAACAAATTATAAGGCAGTAAAGGGTTAAAATCATAAAAAACGTCGAAATGTGGTGGATTGTCCAGCCTCCACTGGACCAATTTACTTATAGGAAATTTCAAAAGCTACAAAATTTCAAGAGAAAACTTTTGTTAAAAAATACCACAAAAGGGGTAGAAAAACGTTGAGTTTTTTTCAAGTTGGCGGAGAATAGCGTCGCGAACCTATCCGAAAACCAGAATACATATTCAATTTATGCTCCTTTGATTTCCTAAATTTATAATATTTTTATTTTGTCTGTACGCTGTCCAGAATCTCCCCGTATGTGCGGTGACTTTGGACAGATGACCGAAAATTTTCAAAAATTCGTACGGTTTAAAGTGCACATATTTATCTCTTTGCGTTTTAAAAAGTTAACATTATTACCTGAAACTTTGAAATTAGAAATAATTTTTAAGAGACCCAGGCAAAAAAAATCTAAAAATTGTCCAATGTCTCCCCGCTCTCCCCTATAGCAACTTTTTACCCTAACCACATATTTTTTTACAGCTTGCATCCCTGCTTAAAATACCCCATAAAGACCCTTTTCAAACCGATAGATATTTGCATCGGAATGTATGGTGTTTCTATAGGGTGTATCAGTATGTATAGGACCCATAGTTGGGATTTATGGTTGTTCTATAGGGATATCCACCCTTGATTTATTTGCTATTGGTTTCAATGGGGAAAATACACATAAATGTAGAAATTAGTTTTTCCCCCATAGGAACCCATAGGTTTTAATAAAATTTTGTCAAATGTTTTATGGTTGCTCTATAGGGATATCCCTATATATCCTACATTGAGTTATTTGCTATCGGTCTCAATAGGAAAAATGTAAAAGTTATGGTGTGCCTATAGGTAATTTCCTATAAATTTTCTATCGGGCCGTATCCGGAAAAAATCATGGACAAATGCACATATTGAATCCGGTAGCGCCCGATAGATTATTTTATATAGGTCTCTATGGGGTATTTTAAGCAGGGATAAGTTCTTAATAATAATAAAAATTAAAACACAATTGTATGGGAAACCCGCTTCAAAAGTGTCACGTAAAGTCAAGTAAACAAAAAGTACTTTTGAGTTTTTTTTTCTTTAGACACTTTAAGCGGGCTTGTGTTATTATGCATTTTTATAATTTTTTTACCTTTCACATTAAAAAAATATAAAATTCGGTATAGCGTAAGTTAAGTTAATTTAATTAAATAAAAAATATTTTAAAAAATAATAATAGGAAGGTAGGAAATTAATTGTTGCTTAAAATATGTTACATTTAGTGCTTATCACCGTACGATACATCGTATTAATTATGTCTGCGGATGAGACAACCAGTAAATCATGCAAAAGGTGTCAAAAGATACCAACTGCATTTGTTAAATGTACAAGATGTGATTCAGTAATGCATCCCAGCTGTGCAAAAATATTTAAAGGGGTTAAAGTGGTAAATACCAAGGAAATTATTTGTTGCGATGGGATTGAAAATCAATCTCAAAATCTTTTACAAAATAATGTGCCCAACGCCGTAGGCGATGATGCGTTGATTGTTGAAATTTATTATCTTAAAGAACTGATCAAACAAAAAGATTTACTAATAGATAACCAAACTATTACGATTAACTCGCTTATAGAGCAAATGGAACTGATTAAGTCAGTAAATAGCAATAATAATAAAAACACAAAAAATCAAAAAAATAATATAAAATCCTCTACTAACATAAATATTCAAGAATCTAAGTCACAAAAAACGGTGGCTAACGAAAAAAAATCAATAATCACAGAAAAACAAGTTTCCACAGCCATATTAGAGGCAACAACCAATAATTTGTGTGAGAAAGTTATAAATCTTGATAAAGATAATTCGAAAAGCATTAAACCAAAATCTGATTGGGTGGATGTGGTTAAAAAAAAGAAAAAAACCAATACTACACAAGTTGTTGGTGTCATGAAAGATTCATCGAGTTGCTCGCTAAAGGTGGTACCGAGAAAATCATATATATATGTTTCGAGGCTGGATCCAAAAACGAAATCAAGCGACTTAAGTGATTATCTTAAAAAACAATTCCCAGAATCCCAAATAAACTGCGAGGAGTTGCAATCTAAATATCCAGAACATTATTCCTCCTATAAAATAACCCTTGATCTATGTTATTTTGAAAAGTTGATGAATCCGGAGCTTTGGCCACAAGGGACTTATCTATCCAGGTTTTTTCACCCAAAACCCAAAGAGAAGCCCAACACATAAATACCATTAAACCAATGTTAAAGTCCACAGACTCTAGTTTAAGTTTTTTAAATCGAAATATTCAAAGTTTAAAAAATAAAATAAATCTACTTGATTTATATGTACTTAATAATAATGTTAATTTTTTATGTTTAAGTGAACATTGGTGCACCAATGTTCACTTAAACATAAAAAATTATCACATGTGACAGTGTGCAGATAAAGGAGATTAGAATTGAGGGTTTTTACAGAGTCAGTTCTTTTTCAAGGCAACAATTTAAGCATGGCGGTTCAGTAATCTTTGTAAGAGAGAATTTAGTATCAAAATGCAAAAACTTAGGAAATATCTGTGATTTGTCAATCGAAATGAGTATTGAATGTGCTGCCATCTCTTTTGATAATGATATGTGTTTAATTTGTATATATAGACCTCCTCAAGGTGATTTTAATTTATTCATTGACCAATTGTCAAAAATATTAGTAAGTGTTTGTAAAAAATTTTCTGCTATATTTGTTTGTGGGGATTTTAACATAAATAATTTGGTGAAAAGTACTAACTTGACAATTTTATTGGATTTAATTGGGGTATTTAATCTTGTATCATTGTTTGAGGAAGAAACTAGAGTTTGGTATATTAATGGTAAGAAATTTGGGTCAGGGATTGATTTTGTATTATCAAACATAAATAAATGTAGTCTTAGCTGTGTCAATAAGGATCTAGGTTTTTCCGATCACATGGGTCAACTAGTAGCTTTTGATTATAATAACAAAGATAATAGTAACAATTGTGAGGATAAGATAAAAAATGTTAGCTATAGAAATTTTTCCGCTGAATCGGTTCAATTATTTTGTAACCTATTCAATGATTTAGATTTTTTCAATTCATTTCTTATTAATGATGATATAAATAATATGTTTAATATTTTTTATAATCACTTAACTTATTGTGTAGGAGTGGCTTTACCAAAAATAAATAAAAAAATCAAACAATACGGTACAAAAATTAAATTCAGTAACTCTTTAATTGAAAAAACTGAAAAGCTCAAAGACCTTAATTATCTTAGAAAACAGTTTCCGGAACTAAATATAAAATACAAAACGGAAAAGCGCCTTTTGGATAAAGAGATAAAACTATTTAAAATGAACCATACTAGGAATAAGATTCTATACTCAAAAAATCCCTCCAAAACACTGTGGTCAATGGTTAACAATAAAAATTATACAAAAACAAGCAAGCAAATTATTTTAAACATAAACAATAAGATAGTGGAAAACCCAAAAGAAGTTGCTACTTACTTTGGGGAGTATTTTTCTTCTGTGGTGAAGGTAAAACTTGGTGATCATTTTAATGACAATTTATCCAACGTCTGTACTTTGCCTGAGGAGACTTGTAAAAGTATTTTTATTTTTCCTTTTACAGAACACGAAGTTTACACAACTATTATGAGTATGCCAAATAAAAAATCTACGGGATATGATGACTTGGAAATAATTCTGTTTAAAAAAACTGCTGAAATTGTGTCTCCTGCGTTTGCACAATTATTAAATCACTCGATATATCTTGGTAGTTTTCCAGAAAAACTCAAATTATCTGTAATGATTCCTGTGCCTAAAACTGGAGACCAACAAAATATTGAAAACTTTAGACCAATTTCACTTCTTAGCTCCATATCAAAAATATTGGAAAAACTTGTTGCAAACAGACTTTATGACTACCTTTACAAATTCAAGCTCATTTCTAAATGTCAATACGGATATCAAAAGCGACTTTCAACAGAGACAGTCACTACAGAATTCACACAACATATAAATAAAAAAATAGATGAAAGTAATATAGTAGTAGGAATATTTTTTGACTTGTCTAGAGCATTCGATACTCTGTATCCAGATTTTTTGTCTAAGAAACTATATAACCTTGGTATACGGGGAAACATAAACAAATGGCTGCTATCGTATGTGTCCAATAGAAAATTTTATATTAAGGTCAATGAGAAAAATTCAGAGATATTTAATACGCACATTGGAACACCTCAGGGCAGTACTCTGGGTCCCTTGTTGTTTATATTGTTCATTAATGATCTCCCCAAATATATTAGTGTGGGAAAACTGTTTGTGTATGTTGATGATGTAACTATTGTTGTATATGGCAAGACTGAAAGTGAAATTGCTAATTTAATTCAAACTGTGATGACAGAATTTAGCAACTGGTGTTTTAAAAATAGATTAATAATTAATGTAAAAAAAACTGTGTTGATCCAATTCTCCTATGGTAATCTTAAGAAAGAAATTCAAATCAATAATCAACTTTTTAACTTCTCGAATTCCTCCAAATTTTTGGGAATGATAATAGATAAATCCTTTACATGGGATGAACACATTGATTATTTAGCTATGAAACTAAAAAAATCCATCTATCAATTATATAGCCTAAGGGACAAATTAAATATTTCAGCTCTTCTTAATGTGTATTTTGCAAACATTTATAGTATTTTAAGTTTTAATATTTTATCCTGGGGTCTTGCTAAAAATAGTAATAGAATTTTTATCTTGCAAAAATATGCCATTAGGGTTATTTTTAATCGGAAGAAACTAGATTCTTGTAGATGTTATTTTAAAAATTATGGAATTTTAACTTTTATAAGTGTCTATATATACAAACTTCTTTGTCTGGTACATAACAATAAAATGGAACTAATGAAAAAAAATAAGTGTCACTACAGCACCAGATCTAAAGAAAAAATCCCCATTGAAATGCATTGGCATGCAAAATATGAAAAGTCACCTTACTTCGTAGGAATTCGCCTCTATAATAACTTGCCAAATGGTTTAAGAGATAAACCCTTTAATGAATTTAAAAAAATCATAAAATCTTTTTTGCAGTCTGCATGCTGTTACACCATAGAAGAATTTAAGGAAAAGATAGTCTCTATTGTTTTTTAAAGTAGAAACGTGTCATGTTTATGTTTGATATACATTTAATTTATGTTTTTGACCTGTCATATTTACCATTTTCTGTTGTAATTCTGTGATTAATAAAATTATTATTATTATTATAAGTAGGTATTAAAAGCGGTTGCTGCCAATTTAACTTTCTCTTACCACTTGTTACACTTAATAATTGCACTCAGGCCGTCCCTTTATTTATAAATTTTTAAATATAACGTGAATTTGCAGTGCAAATAACATTCCAACCCAGTTACCCGCCAGCTTTTGGTTCGCAAATGACGTCACACGGTGCGAACATGCGCATCAGCATACCGGTTTTTGTGAATCGTGGTTTTACCATTCTTTACTCAATGGTTTTACCAAGTTTGTTTTGTGTTACGTTTACCCTTTCAACATAACCTACAAATGTACTTGAATTATTTAATTCAACGCCATTTTTTGGTTTACATTTGGAACATTTTTGACGTTCTGGTTACGCCTCCCCTCTATTCCTTACTCAAAGGCCTTTGATACTGGTCTAAAACATATGAGGATATACATTTTTATGAAGGAATCCCTTTTAACTTATTTTGACTTTAGGTAAAAAATGTTTTTAACTTCCTTTGGCTTTTTTTCATATCCCCTAGGGCTGAGTAGCGGCCTTAAACAGCCGCCCGCTAGTTAACAGCTAGAAATTTATAAAAATACCACATTTTAAATTGATTATAATATACCTACAAAGGTGTTAATGAAAGGTTGCCAGAAAATTTACCAAAAATACCGTTTTTCCACAATTAGATCTACTGTTAGGGTTAAATTTTTCAGTCCCTCCCTTTTTGGGTTGCCCCTGACCAAAATTTCTTATTTTATTAACAGTAAGTTTGGCATAAAATGTTAGGTATTTATACCAAATTTCACTTTTTTATCTCCTTTTGAAATTATTGGGAAAAAAACATTTTCAGGTGCAGACTTAAAAGGGGCTGAACTCACTTGAGTTGTTTATATTATATTTTTGCAAACAAATTTAATTTTGCAAAATATTTATTAAATTAATTTCAAAATCGTTAAAAAACAAGAATTTTATATTATTTGACTGAAAAATATATGTAGATATTTTATCAACATGCAATTTTTACCTATTTACTGAAATCACCCATATTTCATGGAAAAAATACTTTAATTTTTTCATTGATAAAATACTTTAAAAAAGTTACCTGTAAACTTTGTAATGCCATATCCAGTGGTGTTTCTTTTTGTTGAATCTCTAAAAACGGGTTTGCTGGTGTTAATTCTTCTGTTGTATCATTACATAGAGCCCCTGCCTCACTTAAAACTGCCTCGCACAAAGGCAAAACTCTAATTGGCACCCTCAACAATTTAACAGGACTGTTAACTCGTTGAGTCCCTATTGTTATTTTGTATGAGTATTTTACTAATTGACCTCTATATGAAGGAGGAGAGTCGCTCGGGATTTTTTCACGATAAATAACTAAAAACATTTTTAATGATTTACCAACTCATATATAATGAACACTTACATGTTTTAGTTTGGCCAGGTGAGAGCCTTAAATCACAGAACAATATCTTTGGCTTGGTTGCAATTTCAATCTTTCCATCTTGTGATGAGGCCCCTAACGACGTATCTGCAAATGTCAATTGATTAACCCTTTCATTATCTTTCTCCTTGTAAATCTTTGAATCAGTGAAACATTGACAGTGAATTTGGGCTGAAGCCCAGGCAAGACTTTCAAAAACATCTGTGTGGCTCTGTGAAATTTTGTGGGATGGTGAAGGCGGGTGGCTAAAAGAAATACTACATTCTACTATTTCGCCGGATAAAAATACGTGGCCGCGAAGTAATTTTGCTGAAACTTCTATCATTATGTTTATTTACATGCAACATAACCTATAAAATTATGTGGCTGACAGCTGTCAGTGGAATAGTATTATTTCTAGTGGAGAAAGTGGAGAGTTGATGTTGGTAGATTTGTTTTGGTTTTGTTTTGTTGCGGGATTTTTGAATTAATGTTTTTTGTTGAACATTAAATTTTCATATAATCACATTATGGACCAACCAATAGAACAAATCACACAATGGATTATTCAGGATGGTGTATATTATACACTGTATAAACAAGTTTATAAGTAATGCACAATTTACAATGTAAATTTTACACAGTAAATTGTAACAGCAAGCATGCATCTCTGAATATATGGCTGTATGTTATGGCTTTTTGCACAGATGGTCTGTGGCTTTTTGTTTTTGTACAATGGCTTTTTGTTTATTTATGATATTTTTTTATTTTGGTTTGGTTTTGATGCTAAAAATATACATCCGTCCGATAGCGTTGTTTTCGTTTCAGTGGCGGGATATTTGAATTAAATTTATTGTTTCTTTTTGTGATTTTTGAAGTTTGTTAAGTTAGATTTTGTCAATTTAGGTATTATGAATTAAGTTTATTGAGAATGTTGGTGGGTAGTACATATTTACATGGAATATTTATTGATTTATCATAGTTTTGGTGCCAAAAAAGCGATTTGCAAATAGTTGCTTTAAAATTGTTTGTATGTGAAGAGTAATATTAAAAAAGTAAGTAAATAAGAGAATTAGATAGTTGTATAGTTTTTAGTTTCCCTTATCAAGTAAGCATGGGTTGGGCAATGCCCCCCTCTTTCGCAGCAGGGGATACCTATCGCAGCGCCCCTGGCGAAAAACAATTAAACCCGACATAAAATGGCGAAACCGATGAAAACGCGTTCAGTTGCCAGAGTGCATTCAGTGAAGCCGTCGCAATACAAGACACCTTAAAAGACGCACGTAAACACTAGTACTTCGTAAAAGTGTTGTGATAATAAAAATGAGTAATATCAGTGAGGAAAAGGAAGATCTGGGGGCTGAAATAAAATCGACTGGCACAGTTGCAAAGCAAGATGACGTCGAACAAAGAGATGCGTGCGCAGCTGAACCAAGTGAAGTAAAGCCGAGTGTTCCCGAAGAGGTGCCGACGAAGAAAAGGAAAACGCGCCGCGGGAAATCCAAACGAAAGCAGCCGTATATTAAAAACGGGCGTAAGTCAAAGTTGATAAAACCTGAAGCACCGCATAATAGCAACCAGTTTTTACTGGAGGATCACGGAATAATTGAAGAGTTGGATGAGAATTTAAAATGCTCAGATCAAGTTTCTACATCTACAGTAACTAGAACTAGAGATTCAAGTTTTAGTGTGGACTCTGATGGTGAATTTTACTCCTCCCCTGATGATGAAGAACAATTTCTTCGAAAGGATTTTGATGACCAATATGAAAGCCTACAAGTCGAAAGATTGAATGCAATGACAAAAACTGACTTAATACAAGAATACATGCACTTGCAGGGAAAAGTGGACACACTTACAAAGAGACTTAGCAACATTGAAGACAATAACAAAAAAACGGACGAGAATACTTCGGAGTTTGAGAGACTTAAACTTGAAAACGAAAACCTTAAGAAAGAGCTTGATATTCTTCGTAGTAAAAACATGAGTTGTTCTGAAGACTCTGAGACAGACTCAAGTGATTCTTGTAGTAGTTCTACTTCAAGCAGTTCAAGTAGTTGTAGTGTAAGTCGAGAACAGAGCCCTGAGTTACACGAAGTTGATTATAAACAGACAAATGGACACACATCTCCCCCACAAAGTGTTGAACCCATTTAATTTTTACTTTGTAAAAATGTTGACTTTTCTATTTGTTTATTACAAATTTTAATCAGTGTTGATCATTCCCTTCTTTACACTACAATAATATTATTTTGGTGTGCGAATATCACAAACAATTTCAATCTTAAATCAAAAATTAATAAATAAAAAATATTTTGGTATGCTGTTTGAGATATTTTATGTACATATTAAATGGTTCTAAATTTATATTTTAAGTTATCTGAATATAGACTGCTTTTTACTCTTAAGTACAATTTTTGTTAAGTTCAAAAACATGTGTGTTAAGTTTTTTTTTATTTAGTCATAAGGTAACATGCATGTTTCATATAAAAATGTATAGATAGGTACCTTTAATATAATTTATTAAAAAAGTATTTGGAATAAATTATGTTTATTTTATAACAGCTTTATTTCAACCTCTTGCAATTTCTAAATTTAAATGTCAAAGTTCTAAAATAAAAAATCTTTATTTAAGAATATACCTAAACCTGCCTTAAAATAATATTTAAATTAATCAAACCTTATCCTACAAAATAAAGTGATTTGATTGGTTGTTTTGAATTCCCAGGCGTATTTGATGTATGAACATTGAAATAAATTAACTGCTTTGCGTGCAAAAATTTACTCGAACCCTGTTCAAAAAATAAATGCTGTGAAATCAATATTCTATAGTTTTACCGCATTATGGAAAAATTAATACAGAAGAGGATTAGTTTACACTATGAAATCATAGTACCTTGTTTACTGAGGACAAATTTAGAATATACATATAGGTTAATAATTTTTTTCCAATAAAAAAATATATACTGGGCGTTTAGAAAAAATACTTCTATAGCTGCAGCCAAAGATAATCTTTGGCTGCAGCTATATAAGATATATCTATATAAGATATATTTACAGGGGTGAGTCGCAAACAAATGGGTCGACCCATTTGTTTGCGACTCACCCCTGTAAAATCTTTATTTATTGTGCGATTTTAACCGGATTTGTTTTAAACTGTAGATCTTGATAAACTGTATTTTTGGAGCAAAAGACGCCATATTAATACAAAATACAAGGCCTACTATGTCAGTTTTTAAGAGTAAATTTTTAAGAATTCATATTAGCGATTTTTTTAAACAAAATATAAGCACGGCAATGGATTCACCACCCCTCAAAACTATCCTATACTAAATTTTTTGAAAAATTTTAAGAAAAAAAATGCACAAAAATAACTAGAAAAATTTATTTTGTCAAGTTATCCATGAAAAAAACATTGAAATAAAATTAAACTAATATTAACATGGTACTATTATTCCAGTACCGTGCTAATATAAATTCTTAAAAATTTACTCTTAAAAACTGACATAGTAGGCCTTGTATTTTGTATTAATATGGCGTCTTTTGCTCCAAAAATACAGTTTATCAAGATCTACAGTTTAAAACAACCAGTACCGTGCTTGGATTTTGTTTAAAAAAATCGCTAATATAAATTCTTAAAAATTTACTCTTAAAAACTGACATAGTAGGCCTTGTATTTTGTATTAATATGGCGTCTTTTGCTCCAAAAATACAGTTTATCAAGATCTACAGTTTAAAACAAATCCGGTTAAAATCGCACAATAAATAAAGATTTTACAGGGGTGAGTCGCAAACAAATGGGTCACACTGTATATATAAGATAACTAGTTAAAATATTGGCTGTTGTGACATGATTTATGACATACCCAGGTATGCATTGCAATATTGAGGAATTTTATAATTTTTTTAAATTTATAAATTAGGTACCTATACTTACCTATAGGTATTTTGTTTATTTCTATAGCAACCAAATGATATATGCTGTAAACTTGGGTCCACTCAACCTTCTTTATCTCTGGGTCCACTTTTAAATTTTTAGGTCCTGTACACAGGGTACCTCGAACTTATACTTATAAGTTACAGGACCACAGATCTGTGGTCCTGTAACTTATAAGTTTGGTTTGTTGACAATGTCGACTCGACATATGTATATCCTGCATTATATTGCAGTCGCCGCGGCGTATATATAGCATCTATGCCGGACATGTCGAGTCCACATTGTCAACAAACCAGTCTTCGACATTTAAATTGATGACGCAACGGAAAAAATTCGCCGCGGAGAAACAAATTAATTATAATTACCTGTAAAAAGGTAATTATAATTCCCTGTTCTGTGTCATTTTATAGGTACACCTATAGGTAACGATCGTTAACGGTCGTTAATATTAACGACCTATAAAATGACACAAAGAACAAGTTATTATTTCTATCCTATTATTATTATTATAACAGTACTTCAAGTACACCAAATCTTAAAATTTTATCAACTTTCAAAAGTATTTTTTTTTTAATTTGAGTGGTCTAATTAGGACTTAATTCAGAATGCACTTTTTTCGATGAAAATAAGCGAGTAAATACGCGACTTTAGCCACTTTCTGTAATGTTAGAAATTCGACAAAAACAACTATAAAACATAATATCAATCTTTTTTTTTATAAATTTTTGTGATAAGTTAACTTAGAAATTTCTAATAGTATAAATCTCGTGACGCTAAAAATATTCAAAATTTACCCTCTCCCCCTCCCTTGTGACAGAATTTGACGATGTAACCCCCCCGATGGGATGTGACGAATGATTAAGTTCTCTACCCCCTTAAAACATTTTTCCCAATTCTTTTTTGGTAATAATCCGACTGAAAATGAAATAAATAACTTATTTGTTTTATTTTTAGTCAGATTATTACAAAAAAGAATCGGAAAAAAATATTTTTACGGAGTAGGAAGCTAATAAACCGTATTTGAAATACACAATTTCAATAGATTTACTTTGTCACATTAAAAAAACCTCCCCACCCCTCGAGCATTTAGATAAAACATTTAATTTTAGTTTTCATAGTTTTTTCTCTCAAGCTGGCAAACCACTGTATTCGAATAGAACTGCGCGGCGCCCATGGGAAGATGCCCTTCTTGACTCCCCCCTCTGTGCGCCACTGATTATTACGTTAACGTTCCAAAGGGGACCTTAAAAATTTATCGAAACTTCGTTAAAAAAATACATAGGTACACCTATAATAATTCCCATTAATAGGTATGCCTATAGCCTATGCATAATATGCATATATATATATATAATATATATACACTGCTCAACAATTGAAGTGGATATTGTAAAATTTTGTTTATTTTTATCAATAATTCAAAATAAAATAAAAAAATCATGTAACATAGAAAACATTTTATTGATTATATGTATAACTGAAAAGAAAAACCATTTAATTCAAAATTACAAGAAAATTAAAAAAATTGAAAAAGTAACAACATACAAAATTCTTGCATTGCGCAATTTACAAAATCCCTATAAAAAAATTAATATCTTGTTGGACCTCCCCTGGCTCGTCTTAGTGCTGTCACTCTATTTGGCATGCTCTCTATTAAATTATTGATAAATTGCTGAGGTATGTTTTCCCAAAGTGCCTGCAACTCATTACCCAACTGTTGTAAGGTTTGGGGAGGCTGTTGACTTCGGTTTAATCGCCTAGACATTTCAGCCCAAACATGTTCAATACAATTCATATCTGGTGAACAGGGTGGCCAATCCATTCTTGTAATTCCATGATGTTCTATGCGATCGTTTACAATTCTCGCACGATGAGGACGAGCATTATCGTCAATAAAAACAAATCGTTCACCTATTGCACCAAAAAATGGTACAATTATCGGCTCTATAACCCTGTCCCGATATCGTATGGCAGTCATTGTCTCATTAATTAAGACCACTAAATCAGTGCGACCATTATAACATATGCCTCCCCAGACGCAAACTGATCCACCACCAAAAAGAGTTGTTGGGGCCATTAAATTTTCATTGTATCGCTGTCCTCTTTCTCGCCATACCAATATTCGGCCATCACACGTATACAAACGAAATCTGGACTCGTCTGTAAAGAGGCAGTGCCTCCAATTTTGAAAAGTCCAAAGACTGTGTTCTTCCGCCCACCGATATCGGTATGCACGCTGCTCCGCCGTCAGTCTTGGGTGTGTTGCGCGACGTCTAGCTCTTAAGTTACATGCATGCAACCTTCTTCTGATAGTTTGACCAGAAATTACTCGTCCAGTAGCTTGTCTAAAGAAGCTGTTAATTCTTGAAGCCGTAAATGTTCGGTTTCTTCTCGCAGTCAGGACTATAAAGCGGTCTTGAGCACGAGTTGTAGCTCGTTCTCGTCCTCCCCCATGTGTGTACGCTGCAGACCCAGTTGCTTGATACCGATTCCAAGCACGACTTACGACACTTTGAGACACAATCAGCCGCGTGGCGACTTCTTCTTGGGACAAACCTTCCTCTATCCAACGCACTAATTGTTGCAGTTGTACTGCCTCTAATCGTCGAAGCGGCATATTCTTTACACGAATACACAAAATTATTGATAAAAGTAACAGAACAAAGTAAGAACAAATTCTTCCGCACAACTGATACGTTACGATTTTCAAACAACATTCCTGCATATTTTCATGAAAGAGTTAAGAGCATTGACAACGAACAATAAACATGCAAAAAATAATCGCTATAAATAGTGTTTATTGTTAATACAAAAAAAAGTTTTTTTTTATGTTTAAATATAAATTTCAGGATTTTAGCAATTATCCAGTTCAATTGTTGAGCAGTGTATTATATGAATAGGTACCTACTTATATTTTTATTGAAATGCCGGACTTTTTAACCATATACGTTATACAGTAAACCTTTTACTGTATTTTTAAATAAAAAAATCGTGTTCTGTAAAAATACATAATAAGACTTTATTTTGATAAATATTAAAATTCAATTAACATTGTAAACATTTTATTTTTTTTTAGTAAATCTTTTTGCTTCCTTAACTAATCTTCTGTTTTCCTGGCTGTCCTCTTTGACTTCTTGAGAATCTTCCCAGTCGGAATCTTCACCATCAGTTGATAGAACATATTCTTCCTCAGAGTTGTCGATAAACGGATCTTCCAAATCGTATTCGTCCTCGGAGCTATCGTCGTTTGTTTTTGGCTTTGGTTTTTTTGGACGGTCACGTTTTTTTGGGGGGGAAGCTTTTGTGATAAAGTAACAAAATAATTATTAATTTAATTATGTTCTAAACATTAAAGTTACTTTATTACGTTATATAGGCAAAATAAACCTACTACTAAAACTACTATAGTCTAGACGTTTTTTATGTTAACATTTTTACGTGTTATTTGTTAAAATAAATTTTTATTTAATTCATGTATGAACTATAGTTATATATTTATCTACTCTCACAATGACAAACTGTAACTTTATGGCGTTTTAGTCACAGGCTGAAGCTATAAACAGGGTGTTTATGTATATATGCGCAGGACTTCAGGATGTGATAACTCATCCAAAAAGATGAAAAAAGTCGCTATTAACTTACGCTCTAAAATGCACAATTTTCGAGATACAGGGTTTTGAAAATTTTGAAAAATATTCGTTTTTTTCGAATATCTCCGGAACCGTTTATCGTACAAAAAACAGCTTTTGTAAGCATTTTCTACCCAAAATAAGCTATGTTTTGTGCCAGAAAAAAATTTTATTCCTCATAATTGGTGGAGATTTTGAAGGGGTAGCGGGTGTTTTTCTCCTCAACTTCTACGCCCCTAAAAAATGTACGGTTTTGAGAGGCATATTCGAAGCGCCAATGTTTTCTACACAAAAAAGGTACTCTTGGTCATAAGCTCTAAAGTTGACCGTTTTCGAGAAAAATCAACTTTTATGTTTAAAAACATGGTCAATTTTAATTAAACAAAATTTATTTTAACGTTAGAACAAGTAACAAAACCAAACCATAATTGCAAAATAAAAAATGATTCAAAAGTTGTCTTTGCTAAATTCTCCAAACCGTAAAGGTAACGCATTTCGAACATTTCAGCATTTGTGTAAAAAATCATTTTTTATTTTTTTTTTAATTTTGCAATTATCGTTTGGTTTTGTTACTTTTTCTAACGTTAAAATAAATTTTGTTTAATTAGTAATAATTTTTTTTTTTTAAATGTATCATGTTTTTAAACATAAAAGTTGATTTTTCTCGAAAACGGTCAACTTTAGAGCTTATGACCAAGAGTACCTTTTTTATGTAGAAAACATTGGCGGTTCGAATGGGCCTCTCAAAACCGTACTTTTTTCAGGGGCGTTAAAGTTGAGGAGAAAAACACCCGCTACCCCTTCAAAATCTCCACCAATTATAAGTAAAAAAAAATTTCTAGCACAAAACATAGCTTATTATGAGTAGAAAATGCTTACAAAAGCTGTTTTTTGTACGACAAACGGTTCCAGAGATAATCGAAAAAAACGATTTTTTTTCTAAAATTTCAACACCCTGTATCTAGAAAATTGTGCATTTTAGAGGGTAAGTTAATAGCGACTTTTTTCATCTTTTTGGATGAGCTATCACATCCTGAAGTCCTGCGCATATATTATGAAACACCCTGAATAGTGGCTTTTGGGATTTTAGTCACAACCTAAAGTTAGCTTTATTTTAAATTCGTCAGATGTCAAATATTTAACAATTAAAATTGGCTTTAAATTCTTATTTGTGTTGGTCCTAGATAAAGTATAGTATGCAACCCGTTTTATAAACTTTTCTAGGCACTCGTTTTTATTAAACACTCGCTCGCAAGCTTCGCTTGTGCCTAATAAAACTCGTAACTAAAATGGCGTTTATAAAACTTCATGCATAATATAATATTATTTTATTCAGTATCTGTTACTTAATGAACGAATATTGCGGTCTTTCATTCAGATTGATCTGATTTATAATTAAATTAGGCATAAAACTGTACGGTTCAGTTTTTTAACTTTTCAAAGTTCTAATTACGCACTCCCTCTCATTTTTTGTCCAAGGCATGGCAATTTGCATCTATACACTGTATGTTATACAGTGTGACCCATTTGTTTGCGACACCCCTGTAAACTCTTTATTTATTGTGCGATTTTAACCGGATTTGTTTTAAACTGTATTTTAAGAAAAAAACGCCATATTTTTACAAAATACAAGGCCTACTAAGTTGGTTTTTAAGAGTAAATTTTTAAGAATTCATATTAGCGATTTTTTTAAACAAAATCTAAGCACGGCACTGGATTCACCACCCCTCAAAACGACCCTATACTAAATTTTATTGAAAAATTTTAAGAAAAATAGTACAAAAAATTATTTTGTCAAGTTATCCATGAAAAACATTGAAATAAAATTAAACTAATAGTAACATGGTAAATCGCTAATATGAATTCTTAAAAATTTACTCTTAAAAACTGTCATAGTAGGCCTTGTATTTTGTAAAAATATGGCGTTTTTTGCTTCAAAAATACAGTTTATCAAGATCTACACTTTAAAACAAATCCGGTTAAAATCGCACAATAAATAAAGATATTACAGGGGCGAGTCGCAAACAAATGGGTCACACTGTATGAAATTGGATTTGCAAATGCAATTATTCGCATTTCGCGCACCTATATGAAATAATTATTTTAGTAACTAGCAAACATACCTAAAACAGGGTGTCCGGAAATTGGCACAAGTGTGCCAATTCTCATATAACTTGTTCCGATGCTGTATCCACTTATTTTTGTGAAAACTAATTCTCGCTCAAGGTTTTTTTTAGTGTAATAAGCATGTAGCATTTCAAGGTAATGGAAACTTAAATTATGGCAACCCTAATCTATTAATTTTTTCCTAAAATGCAGGCTTTTTGTTGCAAATGTCACGTAAGTTACCGGTCACCAACTGCAATATCCTAACATCGATGAATATTTCAACAAAATGGCCGTTCAAACAACTAAGGTTAGTGCTTGATTAACTAAAAATAGACTTAAGATTGACAAAACATTATTTTATCCGAAATCGGCAGTAAAATAGTCAACAATCGTAAATTAAAATAAATCGGCAGTAAAGTTCTACTTTACTGCCGATTTCGGATAAAATAATTTTTCGTCAATCTTAAGTCTATTTTTAGTTAATCAAGCGCTAACCTTAGTTGTTTCAACAGCCATTTTGTTAAAATATTCATCAATGTTAGGATATTGCAGTTGGTGACCGGTAACTTACGTGACATTTGCAACATAAAGCCTGCATTTTAGGAAAAAATTAATAGATTAGGGTTGTCATAATTTAAGTTCCCATTACCTTAAAATGCTACATGCTCATTACACTAAAAAAAACCTTGAGCGAGAATTAGTTTTCACAAAAATAAGTGGATACAGCATCGAAACAAGTTATATGAGAATTTACCCACTAACGCCGTACCGCGCGAATTAAAAAAAATATTAAACATTTACATTAAATATTACATATTTAATTTTTGGATAACGCTTATCGAAAAGGAACCAAGCGCCAAAAACTTTTTCTGAAGTTAAATTATTTCTAAAATAATTCCTTTTTACTTATTTATTTATTTATTATTAAATTAAAACTAAAAAACAACTTGTAATAGCTGTTAACGTACTATACAATAAAGATAGAGTACATTTATAAATTGAATAACAGTAATGATTATAAATTGTCCTTGATGTACTTTTTCAATGTTTTTATAAATTTTTCATATTTTTCTAAGGATTTAATCGAGTTTGGTAGATCGTTGAAGATTTTAACACCCTGTTGTATTGTTGTTCCAGAAGCCTTTTTGGTCCTAACTCTGTCTGTTCTGATGTTTTGTGCTCCTCTAGTTTCATAGTTGTGAAAATCAGGGTTTATGTTCAAACTTGCACTTGTTTTAATGTCTTTGTTTTTTATCCTATATACTAACCCGGACAACATACGTGATATTCATACGAACATCATGTCGTGATTTTCACAAATTCATACAAAAGTGAAATCGTGATTTTCACAAATTTTATTCATACGGACATCATCCGGATGTCACTGCGTGAGAAATGAAAATCATGTCGTGTTTTTCTGTGCCATCGCTGTTTGAGATTGAGCGATGGCACAAAAAATCATGCCGTGATTTTTTATGACCAAACACCAATGGCATAAAAAAATCATGTCGTGATTTTTTATGCCATCGGTGTTTGAATATTTATTTTTGCGCCACATTCGTACATTGAGAGAACCAGTATACCTACATATATATTGAATCAACAGTTTTTGTGGTTAAATACATTCAATATTTTTTTGGATTTAAATTAATAGTTAATTTACATCCAAGAAAATATTAAATTTATTTAACCGCAAAAACTGTTAATTCAATTGTTAACATACTTTTTCTTTCAATGTACGAATGTGGCGCAAAAATAAATATCCAAACATGTCGGTGCACCGATGGCATAAAAAATCATGTCGTGATTTTTTATGCCCAAACACCGATAGCATAAAAAATCATGTCGTGATTTTTTATGCCATCGGTGTTTGGATATTTATTTTTGCGCCACATTTGTACATTGAGATAAAAAGTATACCTACATATATATTGAATCAACAGTTTTTGTGGTTAAATACATTCAATATTTTTTGCGGTGACTTCCGTATGATATCAGTAGGAATAAAATTTGTGAAAATCACGACATGATGGGATAGTAACAACGTTTTATAAATTACAACGGTGTGATGTGAATAACAAACTAGGTTTTAAGTTCGCAGGGCTCATACGCATGCGTAAATTTTGCAAATATCACACCGTGAGTTCTACATGATATCACTGTGATGAAGCATGTGTATACACTCGTGATAAAAAAAAATCACGTTGTGATATCATCATGACTTCACCAGGAAATCCCGATTGTTGTCCGGGTAATTTGCACAATTCGAAACGAATTAACTGTTTAATATTCATTACCGGAATTATTTTATAAAGGTCTTTAGTTGGTGTATCAAACGGTAGATTAAAAGTTGCTTTTAGCGCTTTATTTTGCAGACTTTGCATTCGGTTTAGATTTCGTTGGGATGTATTTGACCATATTGCTATTACATAACTTAAGACTGATTTAATATATGAGTTATATATAAGGAATCTGCGACTCTCCGTCAAATATTCATTTACATTTACGTTTGTTATATATTTCACCAATGTATTCATTGAAAGTCAAGTTTTGATCAATTGTTAATCCAAGGTATTTATAGAAAGTCACTTTTTGAATGGGTACATTGTTTATTTTAAGATTCACTTTTTGGTTGTTTTTATTTTTTAACAATGCTCAAAAGGTTGATCATCATTTGGAACTTTTCTCAAAAGGATTAAGAGGGTTTCCAAATCATTATTAATTTTTTGAGTAGCATTAAAAATGAGTTATTTTGCAAATAATTTTGTTTACCCCAGAAAAAGTTTTTGGCGCTTGGTTCCTTTAGCAATTTAAATAAGGAAAATTACTGTCACATGTATTTTTTTACAGTTTTTTTTCAAAATATTTTTTACAATCACTAAGAAGTATCAATAGTTACAATAAAGAAATTACAATTTTTAAGAAATTTGCTTTCAATCCTTATACAGTAAGTATCTACATTAATAGATCGTCTTAAAACATTAAAAAAAAAATATAATTTTAAAAAAAGTATTAAAATAATTCATTAATATTAAAATTAGAATACGTTTAGAAAAAACTTTTTATTAAATAGTTTCCGGAAAGTGTTCGTTTCCGAGATAGTGTTGCAATTTTTTTTAAATAAATGACTTTTTGTATAATCTGAAAACCCCTAACAGAAACAATAACAATACAACCAACGTCAAAAGCTTACTATTATTTTTATACACGAATTGAAAATTGCCACACTCAGAAAGAAAGCAATTCTGGAAGTGTGTTAATTGGAAATTTATTGCTTAATTTTACGCAAGGAATCTCATCCTAAAAATTTCTAATATTAATAAATAAGTTAAAGGTATTTTTTTACTTATATTTAAAATAAAAACAATCTAAAAAAATATCAAAAACGAAAAATTTTGAAAAGAAAGTACCCTTTGAAAAAATGCTATCAACAACGTGGAAAATACAGAGACCTATAATACCACAGAGGTCTGTGTATAATACTAATTTTAAAATATTTTTAACAACCCAAACCTATGCATTATCTAATAAAAATATATGTACTAAAATGTATTTAATTTAAAGAGCGATTCTGTCATTTTAAAGTGTGTTAGTTAATCAAAAGAATTTCTCGGCCATTTCAAGCGCGCGAAACGCACGAATTACAAAACTGTAGATTATTTATTATATAATATTTTGGCATCAAAATTGTCAAAAATATTCTTCTTTTATTAGGTTATACATTAAATAAAAAAAAACGTAAGAAATATTTTATAAAAGTAGATATAATTTCAATAATTGAAAGGTGTGGACGGGACAAAAAACAGATTTATCTTGTCCCGTCCATCCCCTGTCAATTATTGAAATTATCTCTACTTTTATAAAATATTTCTTGCGATTTTTTTTATTTAATGTATAGTCTAATAATAGAAGAATATATTTGACAATTTTGATGCAAAAATAATATATAATAAATTACCTACAAATTTTTTTATAAAAACAGTTTTGTGATATGTCCCGTCCATCCGCTTGAAATGGCCGTTCTCTAAAGTGTATGTAGTTTTTATGCTTTATTTGCTGTATTTACTTTATTTATTAAAGATTAACTTTCGCATTTGTCATTTTTATAGAATTTAACAAAAGCTCAAATTCAAATCTCGTTGAATAATATTTAAATTTGGATTTATTTTGTGACTAAAATTACTACAATAATTTTATAAATTATGTTTAGAAAGAATTCGAACAAAAATAGCTTTTTATTAAAGAAACATATATAAGACATCAGTACATATTTTATTAATCACAAATATCATTCTTACGTTAAGAAAAAGTATGTAAAATAAATTTTTAGTTCCTAATCACTTTCATATCCCGGCTTTCGATTATTATTAGTATTACTATTACAATGCTTGCAAAACTGACAACCATGTCTGGTAAAAACAATATTAACATTACCGCCAGTAGGTCGCGCTGCGGGTCTATTTGGGTGTCTGTGCTGCCTGCGGTGTTCTAGATTACGCCTGTAACACGCTGCGCCAAAACTGCAAACCGGCCTGTCATCCTCAGGGTCGCTGTCGTAATCGTCGTCCCCCTGATGACTGAAATCCGCCTTGTGTTGCGGATTTTTTCTGAAACAAATACTAGCATTATGAACGATAACATAAAATTCTTTTATCTCCACGCGGTCTATAATATAAACTTTATTGTTGTCAACATTCGATAAAGAAATACCTTGTTATGGCCTAGGCCGATAAAAATTTTTATGAGGCAAGTAATTAGTTCGATTTTTTCTCGCTAGGGGTATTGTTTTGACAAATTAATACTTTTCTAAGAAATTAACGTACTAAACTGGTTTAATTTATTTATAATAAGCACTAATTTGTTTGTTTTACTGTTAATGTTTAATATATTGTAAAATTAAATATGAATAATAAAACAAAAAGTGAGGTTAGGCAACCAAGAAAACGCACGATTCTTTTTCTACGATTTAAATTATCTTTAAGTTTTAATTTGCTTTAAGTTTTCAGTGAAATTAAATGTTAAACACATCTGAAACATTCCAAACTACCTATTTATTAAACAATTAATAGAATTCAATGTAATAGCAAAAATCCATTTCTACTTAAATCATGTTGCTAGGTATTGTCAAACTATTACTGCTTCTAAAAGCAATAATAATTATTGTACATTTAATGTAATCTTTAGCTAATAAATAAATTATATTCTAAAAAAGTGAGGTTAGGCCGCTTTGATGTTGAATTAAATTGACCTATGTCAGCGCCGGATTATAAAAATTTGCGCCCCGGGTCTAATAAAAATTTTCCGCCCCTACCTATACAGGGTGTTCCGAAATTAGTGCACCATACTTTAACAGCAGATTCGACGTGCAAAAATAAGAAAAAAGTCCCTATAAATATAGGTCGGGAAATGCCTCCTAAGGGAGCTACAGCCCCCGAAAAGGGAGCCCCTGAATATGGTTTTTATCTAATATAAATAAAAAAGTAGAAACACCCTGTCACTTACTACATGAAACTGTCACCTGTCTTGAATTATTCTATTTTTTTCCTAAACATGGCAGCCGTATTCCAAGGACCACGCGAGTCCATTTCTATGGTTGTGATTTAATTGTGAATTTTTATGCCATGAAAAATAATTTTCAAATCGATTTTATGCGAAAACGGTGTATGTTATCGAAGTTCAACAAGATGACCTTTTTTATGTGCAAAACTCTAAAATTTCATAATCTGACACCAAATTCTGGTACAAGATACGTACAAAAAAGTTAAGGTGGTTTTAACCATATTTCCTATCAATCTGACCCAAACCTCATAAAAATTTTTAAGTTGTTATTGTTACGTCTTATTGGTCATAAAAAGTTTAATTAATTCCCCAAATTTCACTTTTATATCGGTTTTGGAGATATTAAATAAAAACCATCTTCAGGGGCTTTCCTTTTGGGGGCTGTAGCTCCCTTAAGAGGCATTTCTTGACCTATGTTTATAGGGACTTTTTTTCTTATTTTTGCACGTACAATCTGCTGTTAAAGTATGGTGCACTAATTTCAGAACACCCTGTATAATAAATTCAAAGAAATGTCACTTCTTAACAAAAGGATTTTATTTAACCATAAACATTAGGGTTGTAGTATTTTTTCGAAATTTTTTTGATTTTGGAGATCAAATAAAAAAAATAAGTCTAAAGTATTTGAGTTTCAACAGATAAAAAAATTTTAGACGTCGCTCAAAACTTTTTTAAACCAACCTTTTTTCTCAAAATCTTTGGCTTCTCACTATTTTTTTTGTAGGTCGTATTGGAACATAATACATTTTTAAGTCAAAATATTATTGTTCGCTCAATATTTTTGAAATACATTTCTTGATTTTTTTAATAATTTTGATCTTGTAACCACTACTATTTTTCCAATTTAGTTGATTTTTTTGAGCGACGTTTATTTTTTTTTGAGTTGAAACTTGAATACTTAAAACATAAAACTTAAATTGTTTCATGTGAGCTCCGAAATAAAAAAAAATGTCGAAAAAATATTGCCACCCTAAAAACATAAACAAAAACTATATAAAAAACAAATCCCTAAATAAGAAAATTAACATTTTGCTAACTCAACTTTGCGTGCTTTTAGAGAAGCAAATTTGTTTATCGCAATATCGTTCAATAGCATTTTACAGTTAATTAACAGACAAGCTAAATAACTGGTTTTATCGTCATTCAATGCATTTCTTAGATATGTTTTTGTGCGCTTCAAAGTGGAGAATGATCTTTCCGCACTTGCATTACTACCAGCCATTGTCAAAAATATTCTTAAGATAATTTCAACATTTGGAAAAGTTAATGTTATCAATTTATCTTTGACTAAACGCAAAAGATATTGAGGCGAAGTTGGTCGTGGATTGGAGTCGAGTTCAAAAATAAATTCTTTCAAATGTAAACTAATTTAAATTAATAGTTGTTCGTAGTGTAATAAAATATTCTTATATTAAAAAACCTTTACGCCCATACGCATCGCATCGGTGGAAATAATCAATTTCTGCAAACTAAAGTTCTTGTCGCCCAACAACTTGTCGGGCGCCCTACGTAATACGTGACATGACATATTTCGTATACTATGCATAGATAATAATACTATGGTAACAATCACGGTTATAATTTAAATAATTTATTAAAACTGATTAATACACGAAAAATAAAAAAAGGAGAAAACCCTTTAGGTTGTAGTAAAAAACAAAAATTACCAGTCAAAAATTTTGCGCCCCCTGTAAGCTTGCGCCCCGGGTCTATAGACCCCCAAAGACCCCCCCTAAATCCGGCGCTGACCTATGTATATAAAGTGCTTTGAAGATAAAATGTTGTATGCCATTCGGCCAAGAAGTGCCTTTTTGTGCTTCGCTCAAACCTTTTTTTTAATGCGGTTTTATATATTTCGTAAATCTTTAGGTAAGTACGAACTACCGCGACAATAAATATTCATACATTTTCACGCAATTTTATGCAGCTATTTTTTTGTGTACTAAAGGAAAGCCTGCTGAACAATTTGGCGTAGAGAACACCCTGTAATTCGTAGTAAATGTAGTCATACCGTACTCATACGCCTATCTAAAATAGTATGTTGTTTAACGATTGAGAAAGTTGGCCGTTTCCATGAGGATGGCCATTTCTTGAGAGTTGAACAGTATACTTTTCCCAACTTTTAATAAAGAATTTAGTACAATTTTGTGTTATTACCATAACCATAAAATCGATTAATTTAAAAAAAAATAATGACCGTATAATCGTCATAGTAACGATGACCGTGGAACAAATTAAAATCTTGTCGTCTCATTGGACAGTAACCCAGTAATAATTTCTTTAATATGATTAAAAAAAAAGTTTCTAGCTTTCTATAATTTAAACTTTATTAATTGTCAACACGCACTACTAAAGTAATTGGTTACGCTGTAAAATAATTTAGAACAATCGGGTTAAGTTTTTTACCTCCTAGTCTGCAGAGCTGCAAGCTCTCAGAAAACTTAAATCGTTTTTTTGATTTAAATCGTTTTAATGACTTAAGTCATTTGGTAATAAGTCATTTCTCTAAAACTGACTTAAGACTTAAAATTTAAGTAATTTTCAAAATGATTTGTGATTTCAATATTTTTTTCAAAATAGAAAAAACTTAAGTCATTTATAAATCAGTACATACGATTTAAGTCAGATAGAAACGATTTAAGTCAAAAAAAGATTTAAGTCTTTTTGAAAAAGATTTAAGTCTTTTTAGAAAATATTTAAGTCAGATTTTTTATATATTTTTTTATAAATTTTTAACAGCGGCATTTTCTTTTGAACTGCCAGGGGTTCACGCGGCAGCAGATCAAAAACTCCTTTAATTTCCTACCTACAATTGCTACCGCTAGTGGATAACAAAACCGCCGCGGTAAAGTTAGCTTTTTGGAACCGTTTGACGGCTACATTAAAAAATGTCCTGTCTAAACTAAATTAAAAAAAGTGGGGATTCATAATTTTGTTATTTTGTTTGCCAACATTCGTCATGTTTGTGCGTAGTTATGTCTAATTTGTGATTATTAGTGCAAAGTGAAAACAATCTGAGCGGTCGTGAATCGAGAGTTTGGAACTTCCCATCATTACTCCCTTAAGGGAGGAATATTTTTTTTCTAGATGGATGTTGAACCAGCTAACAAAAGTTAACAAAACAACAAGTTATCAGTTTTTGAAATACAGCGATTTTAAGAAAAATGCTTCAACTTTTATCTATTTTAACAGAGTTTGAATCTATTACCGTTTAGAAGTTACCCATTTATGTATATAAAAAGTAGCCTCCCTGTATGTCTACTCTACTTAAAAATGTGGTTTAAGTTTTTATTTTTATTGTCTAATATATACTCAAAAAATGTGTTTTTATTTTGTTTGTAAGTGTTCTGAAAATAAATCGATTTAAATTCTTAACATAGTGGTTTATTATCATCTGTATCTACAATAGTATAATAATATCAGTATCATTAATACCATAAAATTATTATTAACATTTAAAAAATCGTTGTATTGTAATTATTTTGATTTAAATCACAATTTTTTATTCAAGTCATTTTATTGACTTAACTCTTAGATCACGATTTAAATAAAAAATATAGACTTAAGTCATATATAAAAACGACCTACTAAAGGAATTAAGTCATAAGATGACTTAAATCACTTTATATTGATTTAAGAATTTGCGAAAATGACTTGACTTGAAAGAAAATGATTTAATTCAAAGACCTAATACTTAAATCATTTGAACTTTATCTTAGAATTTACTTAAGATTTAAATCATTTTGATTTTAGAATTGACTTAAGACTTAAGATTTAAGTCTTTTTAAAACTGACTTGTTGCAGCTCTGCTAGTCTGTAACAAACCCGTTTGGACCAATCCAAAAATTCGACTACTGTAATTTCTATCTAACCTCACTTTCTACTTTTAATAATAAATAAAATCCTTTTTTTCGGATTTTTTCGCCGATAAACCATAGTGCCTTAATGGAAATTGTTTTCAATTTCAACCTCAAGGCGCGTACAGACAGAGAACAGAATACCGTAACACCGCAACACCGCATCAGCGTATAACAGACTGGGCGTCCAA